GTATAGTGTTGTAAATCCTTATATATTGGGTTGTCCATTGCTGGACACTTGCGTAGATCTGTCTGAACCAGATGTTGATGAGAAGATTTTCTTAATAGACCCTCGGAACAGGCAAGTTGAAGATCTTCCCGATGATACAGAAGAAGAAGGTGATGCTGAGTTTGCTGAAACCGATGATGACGATTTGGCGGAAGAAGACGGTGATGGTGATGAAGTAATAGAGGAAGATGAATCTGATTGAGTTTCATGTATTGTATTTAGTGAATGTTTGTTATTATGTAATTTGTAACTTTGTTTGTTTGAATTTTTTAAAAACTCTAAAATTCGATTTTACGACGGTTTTACGACGGTTTTTCCTAAACCCTAAACCCTAAGTCTAGGTTTTAAGCCCTGAATGAATAGGGTTTCAACATTACGACATCTTTACGACGAACCATCGTAATATCGTCGTAAAGTTACGACGGTTTTACGACGAGTACACTATTTCGTCGTAAAATCGTCGTAATGTTGAAATCCAAGAATTTGAATCTTTTATATCTTATTGGTTGTAAGGTATTTCACAAATGTTTTTGATTGGTTATCTTATTTTATATGAAATACTATCAATCTGATCAAAATCAAAAATTTGAAAAAAACATACATTTTTACAAGTTCATGCATGTTTTCGTAAATGTTAAGTGAAATGTTATATATTAGATTACGGAATTTCAATTTTTACTATCTCATGTCATAAATCCATCATACATGCAAAGTTGTAAACCTTTTATTATATGTTAGGATACAATAACCTTTGCATTGTTCTTTATGCAATATCCCATTTATAAGATTTAGGGTTTACTCACTTTTTTAAAAAACATCGTAAAACCGTCGTAATATAATCGTAAATTTACGACGGTTTTACGACGACTAAACCCAAAACCGTCGTAACGTTTGCACCGGATAGGCTCCTGATCCGAGGTACGAGGTTATAAATGTTTAGACGTTACGACGATTTTACGACGGTTTTGAGTTTAATCGTCGTAAAACCGTCGTAACGGTCAAATGCTCCCATCACGACACGTGTCATGTCATGCAGTGGACCGACTGTTATACAACCAAATCGTTGTAAAACCGTCGTAAAGTTACGACGATTTTACGACGATCACAAAATCTATATAAGGGACGCAAGTTTTTCCCCTTCGTCGTTCATTCCTCTCTTCCCCCTCTCTCTCTATAAATCTCTTTCTCTCTCTCAAAAACTAACCCTCTCCCTCTCTCCCTATTCTCCCTACTCTCCCAGCCAATTAATTGTAGGTATTTTTTTAAAATTAATTTCATTACATATTATATTAAGTTTAGGTTCGGAATTTAGATTTAGGTTCGGAATTTAGATTTAGGTTTCGAACCGTCGTAAAGTTACGACGATTTTACGACGATCACAAAATCTATATAAGGGACGCAAGTTTTTCCCCTTCGTCGTTCATTCCTCTCTTCCCCCTCTCTCTCTATAAATCTCTTTCTCTCTCTCAAAAACTAACCCTCTCCCTCTCTCCCTATTCTCCCTACTCTCCCAGCCAATTAATTGTAGGTATTTTTTTAAAATTAATTTCATTACATATTATATTAAGTTTAGGTTCGGAATTGAGCCATATCGACAGAATCTACAAAATTTTAAAAAATTTGTTACTAATTTTTCAAATATTTATTTAAATATTTGTAGGTTGCCCCAAAGAAAAAGGGGCGGGTATTAGGGATGGGGTCCATCCGTGATACCCCGAGAGCTACGGCGTCTGGTCACGTCCGGATGCCGGATCCGGTTATCCGCCAGGAGATCAATCAGATGCGGGCCCGTTACGAGACGAGGATCGACCAGCTCTACGGTCTCTTCGAGATCATGGGAGCCGACAACCCGGTGCTCATGGCGCAGTTGGACAAGCTGCGGGCTGATGGGGTTGTCGCTTCGTCTGCTGCTGGGTCATCCACTAGGACGCAACCGCCGGTGCAGACGGACGAGGAGATGTTCCGATCTCTCGGGGTTGAGCCTCCTAGAGCTAGAGATCAGGCGCCGGCGGAAGCATCAAACCGAAGACCCGGCAAGGAACACGTCCAGGACGATGGGGAGGAGGCCGATGACGGGATCGACGATTTAGATTTAGGTTTAGATTTAGAGTTGTAGGGTTTTTATGTAAATTACAATTAATTTTAATTTCAAATTTTAATAAATTTTAAATTGTAAATTATTTTTTTAATTTAAAATTTAATTCGAATTATTTTTTTTTTAATTTTCAATTATTTTAAACGTCGTATAATCGTCGTAATAGCTTTATTAAAACCGTCGTACATTCGTCGTAAATATTACGACGAATTTACGACTAAAATGTACGACGACAAATACGACGATTATACGTCCGTGCTTTACGACAAAATGATTAAATACTTTACGATTGATTTACGACGATCTATGCGTCGTACATTTTATTACGACGATCTTGCGTCGACCATTAACGACCACTTAACGACGGTCCAGGCGAAGACCAAGTCGACGCAATTCGATGTAAACTCGTCGTAAACTGTACGACGCATTTACGACGATTTTGTTTCCCTTGATGTTACGACGAAACGAAACCGTCGTATATTATACGACGATATACGACAGTTTTACGACGATTTGTCTATTACAACGATGACTTTACGACCATTTCGAAATCGTCGATAGTTCGTCGTAATAGCCCTATTACGACGAAATAACGACCATTTCTACCGTTGTAAAATAATGTTTTTCTTGTAGTGTTGTGACTTGCAAACGTTCATCATAAGAATTTTAACACGCCTATAACTCGGTTAGAAAACTATTCGTGAAGGAAGAAGTTTTTTACATAGATATTGGTAAAATTTATGATTTTAGCCCAAAATTTTTCAATCTTTAATATTGTATATAACTATGATTTATATCTACAAGTGAAATTCGTGAGAAAATCGAATTGTGAAAGACTGTCAGTAAAATAGAAATGGCATTTAGAAAACAAATGATTTCAAATTTAATGCAAAAAGTTTCAAAGTGCATATCCCACTAAATTGTCATTTTCAACCTAAATTCAGATTCCAGTAAATGATTCCATATATTCCCTTATTATGAATTTAACCATAGTAGTTTGTAAAGTCAAATATTTCACTGCATTATGTATCCCTTTTTATGAACATATGTACTATTTCTTTCTAGAAAAAACATACAGTATGTACTATTCGACACTTGTGCGTTTACATTCCATGTGATTTCTTATCTGAATCAGTAAATAATTTATTTTGTACAATGTTACACAAACGCAAAAATCCAAATACTAGAGTTTATAATGAGGATCCCTTTTTGATATCGCGTAATTTTCTTATTTGTTACTACGCTTTTATCTATGTTATGGGAAGATTTTAAAATAATTTGAATTTATGCTACTCATATACTATCTCAATTTTTTTTTTCTTTTAAGATTATGAACTTGAAACGATCTATATAATAATCCGAAAGCAGATTTCATTAATCCGAAAAGACTTTATAAATGATCAGCTAATTGTATATGAATAAAAATATCTTAACGCATCTTTCACCGAATTGTGTTTGAGCATCAACTTTTCTAAACGATGATAATTGATGACTCTGTCTCTTGAACATCGTTGTAATGTAATGTTAGGAGTTTACGACGCTTAAAGTCCCAACGACTCTTTGAAACGGATTAACAAAAGTGTTAAGTTGTAAAACACTAGATCTAGCCATATACAATATTCCGAGGTTTGGTTTTATTTTAGTTGGAAGAATGGATAAAATGATATGACTGCTCTGAACATTTCACTGGAGTGTTTAATGACGGTGATGTTATGATGTTAACGGGATTAAAAGTTTTGATAGACTTAAGAATTTGGTATTTCAAACTTAAAGTTCTTAAAGCGAGTACACACATGATTTTAACTGGGCGTCTTTTATCTGATATAAAGTCGACTAGCTTACATCTCATCGCCATAAATATAATTTTAGTGATCATGCATGCCTAAAGAGCATGCTGGTTGAACCATATATATATTATATATAGTTATATACTAGCCTGACATAGGTTTAATGATTCAACTATCATGCTCAATGGATTTATATGGCTTTAGGCATGCATGATCAATCTACCACAAGCGATGTATTACATGTTTTAAATTGCTTTAGGCACACGTATCCTGTTAAATTTGATGTTATGGGTTTTATTGAATGTTTGTTTCTTTTGTCATCGGTCACTTCTAGAGCTCGTTCAAGAGCAATGTTAAGAAAAAAAACTACACATTTAGTAACGCATTAATAATGCCATTCGTCGTTAGGACCTTCAGATTCCTTTGTTTGTTTGGGCAGCCTTGAAATTATCTTACAATCGTTTTGAAAACCTTTGACCAATAACCAAAATCTGTTTAAACTTTATTCAACAGAGTCATCATTAGACTGGTCGTCTAAACCGAGGGACTATACATATTTTCCGTATTTATGTCATTATATTGTTTCATGATACATAAATTTACACCTCCAACACCACCTATGATTGATCAATATCTAACCCGACATCTAGCATTACGAGTATTTTCTTTTTTGAGAAAACTTCTTAAAATTTATTTTAACTACGGATTGTTTTCAATTTAGTATCATTCTATTAAACGATGATTCAGTTTCCATGTTTACGAAAAACAAAAAAAGTTTAAATCTTTTATTTACTAGTAGCGAGACGTTAACTGCAGTATATGATCATGATAATCAAACACAAACTACATGATATTTCTTTCTCAAACAAATATACAACAGAAGTTTCTTTTCATCTTATCAATTGTGATTGCAAGAGAAATTAATCATGCTTATACAGATTTTGCTTTAGGAAATATATATTTTAAAAGGTATTTTAAAAAATGATTAGAAAGTACTGTTTTTTTGTTTGATAAAGGAGTACTTGTTTCTAACTTTCTACTATAAATTAGCCATCTCCTCGACCAACACTCTTCACACATCAAAGCATCTCACACACAAACACACACTTTCTCCTCCCTTCTTTGATATTTTTCCTCTTTTTCTACACATTCAAATGGCCACCGTCGAGGTATGCATATATAAATTTTCAAAATTTTCTAATCCATTTTTTTCGTTAGTCTAAAGTTTGATTACCGATCAGTTTCCCTATATAAAAGCGTGATAAATCAAACATCCAATTATACGTTTTCTTAATCCACCTTTATTTTAAAGTTTACACATGTATATAATTATGATCTATATAGTTACAAAATATCATTAATTCTGTATTTGTTAGCAAAAGAAAAACGAAATAACAGACTACATGCCGTTTTACCAAACAAAAACGATACGCAGTTTTGAATTGATCTATGTGACAATGGATTACAGGTTGAACAAGTGACTCCAGCAGCATCTGAGAACGTCGAGATGCCACCACCAAAGACAGTGGAGCCGGCGGAGACCGTCGCTGCCGTCGTGGCCGCTGAGTCTGCTCCAGCTCCGGTAACCGAAGCTGAAGCTCCCGTTGAAGTAACGACTAAAGACGTGGCCGCGGAAGAAACAGAGAAACCAGTTGAAAAAACAGAGGAAACCAAAACAGAGACCGAGGAGATCAAGAAAGAGGAAGAAGCTCCGGTGGAAACTCCGGCGGTTGTGGAGGAGGAAAGCAAAACAGAGGAAGTTGTAGAGCCTAAGAAAGAGGAGGAAGAAGAAAAGAAGATAGAAGAAACTCCGGCAGTTGTGGAGGAGGAGAAGAAGAAACCAGAAGCAGAGGAGGAGAAACCTACTGAAGCAGCCGTCGTGGAAGCTGCCGCAGCTACAGAGGATGTTGCAGTGGAGAAGGCCGATGAGTAAATTGAAGAAAAGAAGAAATTTAGCTACTTTTTAAGTACGTTGCGTCCTGTTTTTGTTGTTTGAGTCTATTTGACTCTTGCTTTGCATCACTCTGTTTTTTTTTTGTTTGTTTGTTTAATATTCTAAAGTAATTTTCATGGTTAAAGCTATAATGAAAATCCTCTTGGAATAAGATATAAATTATTATATACGATCAGTTAGATCCTGAAATATGATCCAAAAACTCATGACAGAGAATCCAACAAGTCACATGAAGAGGATCAATGGGATCAGAAAATTACAACCTTTTTGAGATCCCATTGCATACGGTCCATATTAGATGTATGAATTGATTGTTTCACTAACATTCAAACTGATTTTCCACAGCCAACATATATTGTACAACCTAAACTTATAACTTACTCATCACCAGTAACCAGATATCGAATAGAATCATGAAGAACCCATGGATCAACAGTGAGAACTAATAATATCTGAGATTCGGGTTCAAGCTAAAACTATGAAAGTCTAAGACTTTATAGACTACAAAACCGTCTACTTCGTTCGTTCACAAGCTATCTGTTTTTGACTTTTTGCTCGTCTCTCCAGAGAAGATAGCCATCAGCTCAGCCACAAGCTGCTTGTCATCGTGCTTCATCACGTACCTTTTTAAAAACCTTTCACAGGTACTCTTCAACACAGACACTGAAGTGACTTCACATCCGATTAATCCTTTGGACAAGAGAGCTTTGATTACGTTATACCTTGGTACAATCCTCTTCTCCATGCTGTATCCAAATGCCTGAGGGAACAAAGCCACAGCCTTTAGTAGCCAATTCATATTCTTCACCACAAACTCAGTCTTCTTCTTCACCGACTCTGCAGAATATCCAATGCACCGAGGATAGCACTTGACCATCATCGCAACCTCATCTCTGCTGAATCCTAGGCGTATAAATGTTTCAACCAAGTTCAATGTCTTTTCTCCGAGTATTTAAGAAACTTTGGCCACTTCTTGAACATTGCCCATACATCTTCCACATCAAATCCTAACCTTTTATAGACGTTTACTTTTCCTTCAATCGTTTTGTCGCTCATTTGGTAAACAGCGTGTAAAGCTTGGACAAACGATAAGGTTGTCGGATCAAAGCCCATCCCAACAACCTTCTTGAGGGATTCTTCAAATCTTTCTTTTCCAGCTACAGACTGGAAATTGGAGATGAGAATAGAGAATAACAACTTCTGACTTCTGAGGCACACCAAGTTCTCTTAAAACCAAAACATTTCGGAGTTTATTCTCCTGCTTACAACCAGGAGGCAAAGAATGACACAATTTTACATGCTTGGAGCTCTTATCGGCTTCTATGATCTCTTTGATAAAATCATAGTATATGCTGAAAGCTTTGTCCTTTTTGATTCCTAAGATCTTGGGGACTTTAGAAACAATCTCAGTGAGCTCAGAGCTTGAAGCTCCTCTGGACAGCAGAAACTGAAGCTTGGGACCAATGGATTTCTCAGCATTTGCCATAAGCAATAGTGGATAATCCGTAATGATGTCGGAGATCTGAGAATTTGTGAACCCATAACTTCTAAGAAGATTCAGAACAGAATCAGGATTGCCCTTAGCCTCTGAGTTGACTTTCCTCGTAATGGATTCCGCGAGTTTTTTAGTTAAACCTAATGCATCAACGAGGTAAGGGACTGTAAAAGTCTTCCTTTTTCGACCATCTTGGAGGCTCAATTCTGCAGCAGCATTTGAGGAGAAGTAAGCAGAAGCATTTTGAAAAATGTTCACTGAAAACCTCAAATTCCACACTTTCTGAAACTCGACCAACCTTCTTCGATGGATTATCAGAGAATACATGACTGAATTTGGGGGAGAAGAAAATGCAAATTTTTGCGGTTTTAGATGCTAAACCCTAATTTTCGACCTGACCCGAATATCATCATATAATAGTGAGCCTCATTTCTATGGTTTGAACTTTGAAAGCCCACTAGCCCAGAATTTATTAGGCAAGGAGCACTTAGCTTTCATAAATGTGATTTCATACGCCAAAGTCCAAAGCTTTTTTTTTTCTTTTCTTTTTATCTCATGAACATTAAGGGCTTCAGGTTCTTTGAAGTTTCAAGTACGGAACTTGAGAATATAGAGAAACGTAGAACATGAGAATTAAGCCTTACCTTTCAATATATGTATGCTTGTATCTGTGTGACCCTTACCACTCCTTCCCAACTCTTTGTCCACACTTTTGTATATAGGTTTATTAGCTGAACTGTGAAGAAACTTGAGAATAAATGTGTGTGGAAGCATCTAGCACTTCATAAATTGGTTTCTTCCTTCCATAGCTCCATTTCATCTTAAGGTGACATGCTCTCCACTGATCAGCTAAACTCTCTCCGAAATTCCAAGGGAACTAATAAAATCGAATCAGTCTTTCTTTCTTTATATCTACTTGTCTCTTCTTTACAGGGACACAAAAGAGAGATAGACAGAGAATATAAGACAGTAGAGTAGGAAGGAGCAAAACATAAGCTTAATTTCAGTCATCAACTCAGGCAAGACACTACTGTTAAACCCTCTACACTTCGTTTACAAGTTTTATCTGTTTATTCTCGTTTCCCATTGAAGATAGCCATTAACTCAGGCACCAGCCGCTTGTCATTATGCTTCCTCACATACCTGTTTAAAAACGTCTGATCTGTACATACCAAAACAGAAGACATTGAAGGGAGTTCTCTTCCGATCAATCTTTTGGACATGAGAGCTTTGATTACGTTACACCTTGGCACAATCCTCTTCTCCATGCTGTATCCAAGCACACTTGGGTACGAAGCCACGGCCTTTAGTGGCCATTTCATCTTCTTCACCACAAACTCAGTCTTCTTCTTAACTGTCTCCACAGAATATCCAATGCAACCAGGATTGCGTTTGACCATCATCGCAATATCATCTCTGGTGAAACCTAGGCCAAGAAATGCTTCAATGGAGTTCAATATGTTCTGCTCTGAAATACCGATGCATTGCGGGAACTTCTTTACCACTAAGCGGACCTCGTCTTCTAGTAGCCCACACCTCTTCATGGTTTCGAAAGTCTGAGTTATCTTCTTCTCCGAGAATGTCAGAAAAATCGGAAACTTCTTGAATATCGCCCATACATCTTCCACAGCAAAGCCTAAACTTTTATATACATTGACTTTCTCTTCTATTGTCTCTTCCTTCAATGCCTGAACAATACGCAGAGCTTCGAGAAACTTTGGAGTGGTGGGATCAAAACCCATCTCAACCACTTTCTTGAGGGATTCCTCGAATCTCTCTTTTCCACAAATATGTGGGCATTTTGAGACGAGCATAGAGAACAACAGCTTCTGAGGCATGCCTAATTCTCTCAAAGCCGATACATTTCGGAGTTTATTCTCCTGCTTACTACCCTGTGGCAAAGAATGACACAACTTTACATACTTGGAGCTCTTATCTGCTTCTACAATCTCTTTGACGAAATCATAGTACACGCTAAAAGATCTGTCCTTTCCCAAGATTTTTGGAACTTTTGAAAGAATCTCGGTGAGCTCAGAGGTTGAAGCTCCTCTAGACTGCAAAGACTGAAGCTTTGGACCAATAGATGTCTCAGCATCTGCTATAAGCAATAGTGGATAACCCGTAATGATGTTGGAGATCTGAGAGTCAGCGAACCCATAACTTCTGAAAAGACTCAGAACAGAATCTGGATTTTCACTGTCCTCGAAACTGACTTTCCTTGAGATCGATTTAGCGAGTTTTGCAGTTAAACCCAATGAATCAACGAGATAAGAGACCGTAAAGTTCTGCCCTTTTCGAGTTTGTTGAGAGCCCACATCAGTAGCAAAAGCAGATGCGAAGGAATTGGAAAAAGCAGACGCATTTTGCAAAAGGTTCACTGAAAATAATCTCAAGCTACGACATTTCTGCAACTCGACCAACCTTCTTCCATGGAGTATCAGAGAATACATGACAGAAACCAGCAAATGCCACAGTGTAGACTCGAATCGAAAAAAAAAAATTTCCCCGGAGTTGTGGTTAAATCTCAAAATATTAAACTCTCAGAACCATCTGTATTTACAGGTTTAGCGTCGAAAACCCCCAAAATCATCAAGACCAAAATTTCATTTGGGAGGAAAAGAGAATTGCGTCTTGTGCTGGTTCTTGATCCGGTTCGATTATGACAAACCCGAATTAGTTTATATTGATTTTCTTGGTTATGTCTATTCTTGACTCTTGGTCTTGAGTCTTAGAGAACCAAAACCAAAATGAGTCTTTAAGACTCGATTGAACCAAAACCAAACATTCATGAGTCACCGAACATGATAAGATGAAATCTTGACCGTCAAATACCAGAAACGATCCAACGGCTGTGGAAATTCGTCTTCTTCCTCACATGTTCATTTCTAATAATAAGAATAATCCGAGAAGAAACCTAAATCAGCTGAAGCCAAATCGAGAAGATGATGAGATTGTTTGCGATTGCGTTTACGACGAAGAGAATAGTGTTGAAAGGTAATCCTCGAACTGCTTCTCCTTCTCCGTTCCGTTGCTGGGTACGAGCTTTCTCTGGTGCTAGTTGTGATTACAGAGAGAAGATTAGAAATGGGTTTCTACAGGATATTAAGTTAGATGATGCAATTGGTCTGTTTGGTGAGATGATAAAGTCTCGTCCTTTTCCTTCCATTGTCGACTTCAGTAAATTGTTGAGTGCTATTGCTAAGATAAAGAAGTATGATGTCGTGATATCTCTGGGAGAGAAGATGGAGATGCTGGGAATTCGACATAATCACTATACATACAGTATTTTGATTAACTGTTTTTGCCGCACCTGTCAGCTCCCTTCTGCTTTAGCTCTTCTTGGGAAGATGATGAAACTCGGGTATGAGCCCGATTTAGTCACGTTTAACTCACTGCTCAATGGATACTGTCACGGGAATAGGATTTCTGATGCCATAGCTTTGCTTGATCAAATGGTGGAAATGGGATATCAACCTAACACCGTCACATTCAACACTCTGATTCATGGACTTTTTCTCAACAATAAAGCTTCCGAAGCTGTGGCTTTAGTTGACAGAATGGCGGCGAAAGGATGTCAACCAGATCTGCTTACTTATGGTGCGGTGATAAATGGGATTTGTAAGAGAGGTGATATGGATTTGGCTTTAAATCTGCTCAAGAAGATGGAGAAAGGGAAAATAGAGCCAAATGTTGTGATCTTCAGTACAGTCATCGATGGTCTTTGCAAATACAGAGATGTCAATGAGGCACTCGACTTATTCAACGAAATGGAGAACAAAGGAATCAAGCCAAATGTTTTTATCTACAGCTCCCTCATAAGCTGTCTTTGTAATTACGGAAGATGGAGTGATGCCTCTCTACTATTCAGTGATATGATTGAGAGGAAATTGAACCCCAGTGTAGTCACCTTCAATGCGTTGATAGATGCCTTTGTGAAGGTTGGGAAACTTTTGGAGGCAGAGGAATTATACAAGGAGATGATCAGAAGGTCTATAGATCCTGATATTTTCACGTGCAATGCATTGATCAACGGGTTTTGTTTGCAAGATCGTCTAGAGGAGGCCAAACAGATGTTTACTTCGATGGTTAGCAAAGGTATTCTCCCAGACGTAGTGACTTATAGTACTCTCATAAATGGATTCTGCAAGTCTAAGAGAGTAGAAGATGGTATGGAACTCTTCAGGGAGATGTCTCTAAGAGGAATTGTTGGTAACACAATCACTTACACGACTCTGATCCAAGGGTATTTCCAAGCTGGCGATTGTGATAATGCCCAAGAAATATTCAAACATATGGTTTCTATGGGTGTGCCTCGTTCTATTAGGACATATAATACTTTGTTAGATGGTCTTTGTAACAACGGGAAGCTAGAGAAAGCATTGGTCATATTTCAGGATATGCAGAAGAGTGAAATCGAACTTAGTATTGTTACATATAACATCATCATTGAAGGAATGTGCAAGGCTGGTAAGGTGGAAGATGCCTGGGATTTGTTTTGCAGCCTCAACCTTAAAGGAGTGAATCTTGATGTTGTAACCTACACTGCAATGATCTCGGGATTTTGTAGGAAAGGCTTAAAGCAGGATGCATATGCCTTATTCAGTAAAATGAAAGAAGATGGACCTCTCCCAAATAGCGGTCCATATAATACGCTGATAAGGGCATATCTTAGAGATGGTGACAAAGTAACATCAGTCCAACTCATCAAGGAAATGAGGAGCTGCAAGTTTTCTGGAGATGCTTCAACAATAAGCATGGTCACTAATATGTTGCATGATGGGAGATTAGACAAAAGCTTTCTGAAAATGCTTTCTTAAAACACTGTTATCCTGGAGAGAATTGTAGAGCAACCTTGTTCCTATGATAGCAACATCTGTGACTGTGAGGTAAATCAATGTTTGATGTTGCTTTTATATTGATTGCTTCTGAACATGGGTTTCTTATGTCGTAGGTGGATAGATATGTGTATATTTAGGTGTTTCTAGCTTCATGAACATGACTGATTTGTGCTGTGTCATTTTCCTGTTAGCATGCAAACAAGAGTTGATGTTGTCTTCTCTCTGGGCGAGCAAACGGAGATGCTGGGAATTTCACATGATCTCTACACTTACAGTAATTTCATAAACTGTTTCTGCCACTCCTCTCAGCTCTCTTCTGCTTTAGCTATTCTTAGCAAGATGATGAAACTCGAGTATATGAGCTCGATTTAGCCACGCTTAACTCGCTGCTCAATGGTTTCTGTCTCGGGAATATGAAAGGTGTTCCCTTTTCAGTAGCGCAAGAAGAAGATAACGAATTGAAATACGTAGGAAGCATTTTGCACAACCTTCACTGAAACAAATAGCTCGCTCCTTATTAAAACTACATAACGACAAATCCAACAATAACATAAGACTTAAAAAGATAAATTTACTAAGTTTATCTTACTCTTAGTCTCTCTCTCTTGACTAAGATAAACTTAGAGTTGGAACCAATCTCCAATCTCTAGATTATTATCGACTAAACATTAATACAAAAATAAAACAAAAGCCGAAATAGAAGTAAAAACATTCAAGTAAGCTTCTTTTAGAACCAACGGTGAAAATAGACACTAACTCAGCCACAAGCTCCTTGTCATCGTACTTCCTCATAGCCCTGGACGTTCGGATATCCATTCGGGTTCGGTTCGGATAATTCGGTTTTTCGGATTTTCGGTTTTTAGATTTAAAACCTATTCAGATATTTTTGGAATTCCGGTTCGGGTTCGGTTATATTCGATCGGGTTCGGTTCGGATTCGGATATCCAAAAAATAATAAAATTAAATAAAAATAATTAAATTTAAATAAAATTAGTTAAATTCAAATATAATTTGGCAAAATTTTAAAATTATAACTAAAAACTTAGTATGTTTAAATTATTTTGGATTTTTCATCATTTTCAGAATAAAAATAATTCATATTTTGGATTTATAATTGTAATTTTAGGTTATTAAATCTAATTGTAGTTAGTATTTTGAGTATATAATTGTATTTCAGATATTTCGGATATCCATTCGGATTTTTGGTTCGGTTTGGTTTGGTTTCGGTTTTTCGGATTTAGAAATTTAAAAACCGTTCGGATATTTTATCAGTTTCGATTCGGGTTCGGTTTCTCTTTTTCGGGTCGGGTTCGGATAAATTATTCGGATTCGGATAATGTGCCCAGGCCTACTTCCTCACATCTATTCTATTAAAACAGAAGCACATTTAGTACTTGCTTCCAAACACTCTTAATTTTTTTAAGTGTTTAAAAATAATTTTAATAATTATTTATATTTAATTTTGAAATTAGTTATTAATTTAAATATTTTAGAGTTCCTTAAATATAGATAATTTAGATTTGATTTGATTTGATTTGATTAAAAATAATAAATCAGATATTAATTTAGATTTGATTTAAAGATTCTAATTTAAATAATTTCAATACTATTAAACATTTTTATCAAAAATATCTAGAATTTTTGAAACAAAAATAATTTACATATGAAAAATAATGGTCATATTTGAAATATAAAATATTTATAATGATGTAAATGATATGATATTTATGTTGCTTATATAATATATTTATGATTGTGATTTATTTACAAATTAATAATAAAATAATAGGTAAAATTCAAATGTATAATTTAAATATTAAAAATATATTTTTTAAAATTCATAGAACTAAAAATATATATAAAAACCGGGTTAAAAATATTTTGGTAACTAAAATCACTAATTTTGAATTATATATGTATATCGAAAATATATTTTTCATACAAAATAAAAACATAAAAAATTAAAAATTATTGCATACACTATAATGTGGTTTGAAAAACCAGTTGTACACTCCTTTCGTTGATTAAATTTTAGAAAACTATAATGCTAAATAATACTGTTAATACATCTCAAACTTTTAATAAATATTTATATTATACGATAATATGAACGGAAAAGTTAGAATTATGTTTTTATAATAGTTCATTTTGAATTAATATTAGCGGATTGGTTAAAATTATATTTTTATAATTATAATTAATTTTAATACTATAAAAATATATCTAAACACAAAAATCAATATTTTCACTTATTAAAAAATATATTTATAAAAATAATTATATCTAAACTCAAAAACACAAATTATATTACAAAATTCGTTAAACAATAAAAAATATTCCCGTGCGGATGCACAAGGTTAGAATCTAGTACTTGTTTAAGAACGCCTCATATGTACATACCAAGACACAAGACATTGAAGGGAGCTCACTTCCGATCAATCCTTTGGACATGAGAGCTGTGATTACGTTACACCTTGGGACAATCCTCTTCTCCATGCTGTATCCAAGTACCTGAGGGTTTGAAACCAGGGCCTGTATTGGCCAATTCATCTTCTTCACCAGAAACTCGCTCTTAAGCTTCACCAAGACTGGAGATAATCCGATGGCCGAAGGAACGCGCTTGACCATCATCGCAAACTCATCTCTGCTGAATCCTAGGCCTAGAAATGTTTCAATGGAGTTGGCTATACTCTTCTCTGAAAGACCCATGCATTGCGGAAACTTCTTGAACACTGAGCAGACCTCGTCTTGGACTAGTCCACACTCATTCAGGATTTCAAACTTCCGAGTTATCTTGTCCTCCGAGTATGTAAGAAACTTAGGCCACTTCTTGAACATTGCCCATACATCTTCCACTTCAAAGCCTAAACTTTAAAAAAAGTTTACCTTTTCTTTCATCGTTTTGTCGCTCATACTGCGAACAGCGTGTTGAGTGTGGACAAACTTTGAGGTTGTCGGAACAAAGCCCATGTCAACAACCTCCTTGACGGATTCTTCAAATATCTTTATGCCACAGCAGACACTCTGTTTATCACCGAACATGAGCCTGGAGAAGAACAGCTTCTCAGGCACGGCCAATTCTCTCAAAACCCTTAAATTTCTGATCATCTTCTCCTTATCCGCTTTTAAACTCTGGTTGCTGAGAAGCATATCATCATAGAAATAACCGAGAAATTCCTCCACTGTCATCCCAAGATTTTAGGAGATTCTGAAACAATCTCAGTGAGCTCAGAGGTTGAAGCTGCTCTGGACTGCAGACACTGAAGCTTGAGAGCAAGAAACTCCTCAGAATCTTCAATAAGCGATCGTGGGTAAGCTTTAATTATTCTGGTGATTTGAGGATCTGTGAAACCATGACTCCTAAGAAGATTCAGAATAGAATCAGGATCTCCCTTAGCCTTTGATGAGCTCACTTTCCTCAAGATAGATTCTATGAGTTTTTTAGAGAAACCCATTGAATCAACGAGGTAAGAGACAGTAAAAGTCTTCCCTTTTCGACCAACTTGAAGAGGGCTCACATCTGCATCACCACTAGCAGAGGAGAACGAGTTGTAAAAAGCAGAGAGTACATTTTGCAATGACCTCTCAAATTAAGCAATTTCTGCAACTCGACAGATCTTTTCCCGTGGAGTCTCAGAGAATACATGATGACAAAACACCATGCAAAGGAGTGCAAGAGAAAGAAAAATAGAATCAACAAGTTCTACAGTGTTTTCCTCTGAATCTATCTGATTTTTATCGAGAAGAAGAATCACGCAATCATCGAACGTTTTCCTCGCTCTCGAAACCCTAAAACGCCAACAAAAAATAAGAAAATTCTGTAAGTTGATTTGGTTTTTGAGTTGTTACATGCCTTGCAATAGTTTCTTTTATCTATAAAGCAAAAACGCTAAGAGTAAGAAGGTGAATATATTTGTTGTACTAAACCGGTCCGAGTTTAGTAAATCATCAGTTCAAATCAAATCTTGATTTTGTGAAGGTTCGGATTCGGTCTAATTCTCAGTTTCACGTGATACAAAAGAAAAAAATGTTTGCAATAAGAAGATTTCTGGAGAGATTTTTTCAGACAGTATAAAGAACAATACAAATATACAATGAAACTTTTTGCAACATTTTGAAGCCATCTGGATATTATATGAGCGTGTGTTCACTAAGCTTGTGTCTCTTATTCATAACCAAAAAGCAAAATGAACAAACGAACTCTGAAGATAGGCACAAGCTCATATCCACTAGGATCATCACCAGAGCAGGATGGAGGATAGATATGCAAACTTTTCCATCAGGGTAAACTGCAGCCAAGGGTATAAATCATCATAAGGCACAAATCTTAGAGCTCGAAAATGGAAAGAGATATCTTTCAGAATAAGCACTCACACAGGAAATAGCCAAATCAACGCACAATTTGAGACATACGGATTTCGAAATAATCAAATAGAAACACACTATTATCTAAACATGCTTATACATCGAGAGTCTGTACTCTATGCTATAACATAGAAAACAGAGGAATATGCTCAACCAGTGCCAGATCTAGCATTTTTTTTATCGGAAGCATTTTTAATAAAAAGACATATTTTTTTTTTAGTATAGGGGACACTTTTTTCTATAAATATCTTAATAATATATTAAATTAAATTTCTTTAAAATTATTCAATAAAACATCCCGGTCGTCACAACCTACGTCCACCCCTGTGCTCAACCAAGAATTTCAACAGGGAGCGAGAGAAGTTTTTTAAAAAACTCACTACAATCAGGCACATCCTTTCACATACATGTTTTAGAAGAACCACCGGTGAAAACAACCATCATCTCCGCCACAACTTCCTTTTGTTTGTGCTTCATCACGTATTTGTCTACGAACCTCTCACTGACACATACCAACACAGATAACAAAGGGAGTTCACTGACCAATCCTTTGGACATGAGAGCTTGAATGACGTAACACCTTGGCACAATCATTTCCTCCATGCTCAGTACATATACCAGAGGGTTTTACACCAAGGCGTTTCGAGGAAAGACAGTCAGACAGATTTGAAAAATCACTAAAAAAGTTATTGGGTTTGGATTTAGATCCCGAAAGACCAAAATTTGTTGAGGCTGTAAATGTTTTCTACATCGTAAGTGTTCAAAATAGAAAGAAAACTCGAGTTCTGGTCCATCTTAAAAAATTTCATTAAATTAACTCACTGAAACATATCGGGCGACTGGATTTAGCAGAGAGGAGATAAACATGATGGTTGTGAGGCATCCTCCCTGCATGTCGTATTCTTCAGAGTCGGTGAAGAAGAAGACCGAGTTTGTGGTGCAGAATATCATCTTTGTGCCAGAGAACAACAGTGAGTACAGCAGATCATCAGCTACTCCAAGTACTCTTAAACTCGATATGTTTCTTAAGATGTTCTCCTATTTCCAACCATCTGCCAAAGACTAACACAGCTTTCCATGCTTGCCGGTTTCCTTCATATTTTTCACCATATCAAAATAGAACCCGACTGTTTACCTTTGGACCATCTGAAAGGAACATAGTGAGTTGAGATCTTGTATCTTCTAGAAAGTCAAGTTTCTCAGCCATGTGTCTTTGTTTAACAAAATTCAGGATAAATATGCTTGAAATTTGAAATTCTGTAAACTCACAGCTTCTCAGCAGATTCAAAACTGATTCTGTAGCATCAGTTTTATCCTCCAATCTTATGAAATTTGGCTTCTCTCTGGTGGCAGTGGCAGACCTAAGAGACTATTTTATGGAAATCAATATTTATTGTAAGTTGTTTATCTTTTGAATATTATCTTATAAGTTTTGTATTCTCATTATAATATATTTCAAAATTGTGCTAAATCAGCTTCTAAATAATAGACTAACGATTTTTTAGCGTGCAGTTCATTATAGTGTTTTCAGTTTCATTAGATTTAAAGTTAAACATATTTGAAACAAAATTTAGCTCAATTATTTTAAAATTTATATAATGTGGTAAGTCAATATGCTATTATTTTGAATTATAATAGAATTGAATTTCATAACAAATAAAAAAAATAACTAAAAACACATAAGAAACTTAAAATTAGTTTCAAATTTAGTCATGCCAAGTCAGTTATTAAAATCTATTAAAAGATGAACAATATAAAATTTTAATTAGTTTATTTAAATCTTTAACTAAATGATAATGGATTTCAAACTTCTTTACTGAATCTTATATATATATATATATATATATATATATATACTAATAAAAGTTGAAGCTAAATGCTTCTAAGAGTGTCCACATAGGATTTCAAAAATCAATTTAATTGGTCCACATCAACATTTAAAAATAAGAAAAATTTACAAATTGTAATATTATTGCTGAAAAAAAGAAATTAAGAATGTATCCACATAGGATTTAAAAAATAAATTTTATTGGTCCACATCAACATTTAAAATTAAGAAAAATTTACAAATTATAATATTATTGCTGAAAAAGAAAATTAAAAAAGTTTATTGGTCTTATAAAAAGATTTATTGGTCCACCTCAACATTGAAAATTGAAAAATTTCCAAATTCTATTATTGTTTTTAAAATTATTAAAAGTAAAAAAATTATATATAAAATTGATATTAATAATAAAAAACAAAAATAAACAATATTAAAATAGGAAATTTTGAATTTAAATTAGATATATACACACATATTTAGCAATGTTTTTAAAATCGGATCGGACCGGCGGTCCAACCAGATTAAACCGTGAACCGGACGCATAACCGGGTTGGGTGAGTATTAAAACCCACATAAGATTAAACCGGCTAAAAAACCGGATTAAACCGCCAAAAAACCGGGAACCGGGCGAACCGTTAAACCATATCAAACCGGGTTGAATTGAAAAACAGAAAAAGCTTAATTAAATTGTTATTTATTTCTCTTTTCTTAGTGTTTATATCGTTTAGACTTGTACTTGTTTAATTAAACCCTTACTCTTTCACAGTTGTATCGTCCTTCTTTTGTTTTTTTCGTTTCTAAATCTCTCTGCAACTCACCACCACATTACATCAATTCAAAGTCAAAGTGAGGTGTGTCCAACTTTCGATTAAAATTTGTTGTTGAGTTTAGTTGGTTTTAGAATTTCTGTATCTATTATATTATATAAAGTATAAACTAACACTTTGTGTGCTATGACGTGATCAATTTTTTAACTGCTTTGTTTTTGTTTGGTTTTAATTTTTAAAACATTTCAGTAATATGTATTTTGTTTTTATATTTGTTCAAGGTACTGAAGATTTGGAAAAGGAAGATTGAACGTGTTAAATTGTTTTAGTGTTGTTTTTTATTTAGACTATTCAAGTTTTTTTTAATTTGTTGCTAATGCTACTTTATTTTATTTTAGTGTTGATTTGGATTTAAATTATGAATTTTTTTCCAAATAATTTAATTATTGAAGAATTTTATTTTGATTAAGTTTGTAAAATATTATCAAACCCGGTTGAACCCAGTTGAACCTAATCGAACCTTATTAACCCATGACCCAAAAAAATTTCCGGTTCAATCACGGGTCCGGTAAATTGGAGGAAATTTTTTGAAATAACATAGCATCTGAATGGGTTTTAACAACCCAACATGAACCACAAAAGTAACAATTAGCTGACCAGACAACATCTGAATACATTCGATAAGCCTCATAATAAAGAGGAGAGGCTAAAATCATTTGCCGCAACGAGCCTCGTGTGAGATTTTTCAATTTTGATTTCTAAATCTATTATTAATAAAAGTTATAGCTATATGCCTTTAAGAATATCCATATATGATTTAAAAGTTCAATTATCTTGGTCCACATCAATATTTAAAATTAAGAATATTTCTAAATTTTAAAATTATATTGTTTACAAACAATTTAAAGAAAAATAAAAGTTAAAGCTATATGCCTGTAAGGACATCCACATAAAATATAAAAGGTCAATTTTATTATTTCACATCAAAAACTAAAATTAAAATTTTCTCTAAATTATAAAATTACATTGTTAATACAAAATAATATAGGAATATTTGTTAATTAAAATTATTCTATTATTAATGATAGTTAAAGCTATATTATTTTCAAAGCATCCACATCAGTATTTAAATTTTTATTCATATATATCAAAATTATAAATTAAAAAAAAAGTTTCATAATTCTAATATTATGATTAAAAATATATTAAAAAATAAAGAAATCTCTATGAACCAAGAAAAACATCAACATGATATTAAAATCTCCATTATCACTGTTTAAATCACAAATTTAATTTATTATCTATAAAAAAATATAACTACTTATACAAGTTTAAGTTACTTGATTTTAAAACTTTTCATGTAGAATTTTAAATAACTAATATTTATGATTTATATTCATCTTTTTTTTTAACATATGCAAAACATATCATCGAAATATGTAATATATTATGCGAAAGTATGTAATATTTTTTTTCTCATGTAATATATTATGCAAAAATGATCAAAAAATTTACATTTTATATATTCAATTTTGAATTCAATAGATTAATGTAGAAGTTCTTAGTTTTGAGTTGTTCAATTTGTTATTTCATTTTTATAAATTTGATGTATTAAATTGTACTGATTTTATCTATTTAGTTACAATTAGAAGTGAGAATGAATATGATGAAACTGAATATAATCATACATAAATTATTAAAATAAATAAATATGATAACAGATATAACAAGAATAAAAATGAAGAAGATGAAAATAAAATTTCATTCTTATTAGAAGAGATAAGATATAATCATTTAAAATTATTTAAATACACTACTAATTGACAAAAGTATATTTATTCACAAATTTTGTGTGATTTTATTTATTTCATATTCAACTATTTTTTTAGTTTCAAATTTAAAGTTGTTATTAATCTCAAAGCAAATATTTTAATTAATAGTTTGTTTTTTAAATTAATTTATCAAAATAAAAATTTGTATTTGTTAAACAAACTAATAAAAAAAGATTAACTTATAAGTAAAAATGATGGAAAAAATTATCTTTTTGATTTAAATAAGTGAATGTATAATATTTTATTATTATGTTAATACTATGTTTAAAAAGTAACATTTGGTTAAATTGTAAAATTTTTAGTTGGTTTTGGTATATTAACTTATAAGTATTTGACTAAATAATATATTTTTGAAATATGATATACTGTATATAGATTCAAAACAAAACCGTTAAACTATCATAATGTACATAAAAATTATTAACACTATAATATTTTAATATATTATTAAAACACTAATATATAAAATTTATATATTAATAAATATAATTAATTGCATATTACTTTTATCAACAAAATATTCACGCATGGATGCAAAATCTAGTATATTTTAAAATACAAAAACCTATAACAATAGATTTTATAAATATTTAAAATCAATCATTGAATAATAATGAATTGTGAATAGATTTAAACTCTATTGAAAACCTTGACTGAATAATATTCCATAGTATTATGGATATTTATGATTAAATCAATTTTTATTAAAAGCAACTGTTTTCGAAGTAAAAAAACATATTTCGTACTATTAAATACATAATAATAATTAAAAAAGAGATTATGGAACTGACTACTAATAATACAAAACAAAAACGTCTTGTTGCAGAATAAAAAACAATACAATGAAACTTGAACATTAATTTGCAACATTTCGAAGCCATCTCCAGATCAAAAAACTGCAAAAGAAAACTGATACTCTTGATGATTTGAAGTCTTAGGACTGGAACCATCTCCTGACTTGTCCAGAGCTCTGTTTTTGTGGGCCGGTTTTGGCTGAGCTTTGCGAGAATTTAGACCTGTATTGCTCAATCAGCATATCAAGTTTGTCCAGAACCTCGGGTGGACCACCTTGCTTCTTCTTTTTCTCCGTCTGATTCTTTCTCTTTCTTTGCCCATTAAAACTCTCTCCACCTCTAACCTCCTCAAACTTTCTCTTCCTCGGTGCATCGCTCACATCTTTGGAAATCTTCTTTAGATTTGGTTTCTCAGTTGCCTCTTGCTGTTTCATCCATTGCCCTTTCTGATTTGAGGGTGGCTCTTTAGCACTTTCTTGTGTGGGTCTAGGCCTCTTATTTCTGTTCTTCCCCGCATCTTCTTTCACTGAGAGACTCTTCTCTGGTTTCGCTTCTTCTTTCCTCTGTTCACGTGGGCGCATAGGTTTCCTCTTACTAAACCGGCTTGCATTCTCTTCCACTGGACCACTGTTATCCTTATCCCTCGTTCTTCGTTTTGAATCATTGCCACCATGAATGTCCTCTGCCTGCGCTTCGCCGTTCACCCGCTGCTCCTCAGATTCATTGTGTTGCGTCGCTGAAACTGTTGATTAGCTTTATGTAACTTCAGCTTTTGGACGTTATCAACAGCAAATTCTATCACAGGACGATGTTGAGGACCAAATGTCTCTGCAAAAAAGCCAAAACATGAAATCGTGATTCTTGGATTATACTGAATCCTAAATAATATGTTACGCTCTAAAAAAGTACTCCAAAACTTGATGGAAAATTAGCTGTCAGCAATATTTATTTACCAGGATTGTTATTAAGTACTCTCAGGGCTACAAGAGCATGGTCATGCTCTGTGAACTCTACAAACGCAACTCCACGTGAGTAGTTCTTCGTATCAACTTTACCCTTCTTCTCGTTTTGTAAGAACTTGATCTGAAACGAGGAGAAAGAAGCGAGATTCAGATAACAGAACAAGCCATGTTTCGAATATTAGCATCAAGGCTGCGAATGTGTGACCTGTCGGATGGATGGCTTCTGCTTTGTAGCTCGTGAGGTAACAGCATCAACTAAGAGCTTTTGTAGTTGCTTTTCATTCATGGACTTTGGCAAATTATAGATGACAATCCTCGTTTTAGATACATGAAAGTTCGGAGACTGAAGCTTTTTCATCTTGTTTTCATGCAACCTGCAAAGGACAACCACACATGCTTAATCTTCTATCATCCCAAATCACTAGACAGTAACACGCATATATGAGAAAGTACAAATTAAAGTTTTACCTTCGTCGCCTGTCCATGTCTTCTGCAGAGACACCCTCAGCAGCAGGTGTACCTTCAAGGATCTGACCTTCCTGTGGAAGTCCAGAAGGAGATGAATATTAGTGCGTGCTTATTACGGTTTTTCCAGAGATTTTGTGAGAACTGAGAGGTGTGTTACCTTAGCAAGATAAAGATTCCGATGGTCAAGATTCTTTTCCTTTGTCTTTTCGAGTACAATGTCCTGTGCAGATTTCTTATTCACAGCTCTCATAACGCTTAGTTGCCTGCCTTTAAGAAGGACACCGACACCTGCGGGAGTACTGGCAGCTGAAATGGCTGCATCTGATGCATCTGCTGTTTTGAACTTGAGGAAAGCAGTACCTTTTGGTCGTCTGAAAAAGAGAACACAAAGAGAGAAAAAATGTGAAGCTTTGGGGTTAGGGAGATACCAGAGCCAAAATTTGCTTTCATGATTGAATGAATTTCATAAGATAGAAGGATGCATACTTTGTGACTGGGTGGAGAACTAGGTTCAAAGATTCAACTTGCCCAAATACAGCAAACCTCTGTGTGACTTCTTCCTTGCTAACATCAAATGGGATGTTACTTATAAATACAGTTCTCGTAAAATCATCATCATTTTCCTGTGTTACTTTAGGAACCACTTCTTTGGTTTTACTGGATTCCAAAGGTTCAGAGACACTAGACGAGTCAGCGGCAGGCTTATCTGATGTATCCTCGGGTTTGTTTTTATCTGACATTTCTGTCTCTCCATCATGAGAAGCAATAGAACCTCTTGAAGATGCAAGCAAGTTCTTAAGAATCTTTCTCGCAACATCTGCTTCCTCTTCGAAATTCACGTCGGTCTCAGCATCCTTCTCCAGTACTACTGATTCACTCGGTTTGTTACTGATGTCTTCCTCCTCCTCGTCATTATCATCTCCTGAAGGTTGGTGGCCGTCTACAGCATCATCAACCTCCTCCAAATCAACACTACTGTTATCACTCTCCTCATCACTTCCATTTTTGTCACCTGCCAAGGTGAAGCCAAAAAGTATGAATATTCTGTTAGGAAGAGATAAAACAAAAGTTTGGCCACCAGACTTTATTTGTTTCCCTCGTTATATATTCCAGGCATTCAATTTCATCGTGTCAACAATAGAATATCTTATATCAATATACAAATTAGCTACCAAAAGGTTTAAAAACATTAAGTAAGTTATTTACCATCTGTTGGAGCAGTAGCGGCATCAGCAGCACCATTGTAAAGATTCTTTGGTACAGCCCAGTCAACAGCTATAGGTCTTTTACTAAACATGTGCCCGTTGAACTTTTGAATTGCCTGAAGATGCACAAAAGAATAATAAGACAAGTGATCCAAATGGAGAATGACCAAACCAAGATACTCATGTTTCTAGATCTTACATTTTCTGCGTCTTTCTTACACGTGAACTTGACAAATGCAAAACCCTTCGGTAGCCTGCCAAAAATATTCCACTAAATGAGAACAATATACATTAATTTATACATAATCAAGAAAATCACCAGACGACTTGGAACATACCCAGTTTCAAAATTTTTAGGAACAAAAACATCCCAGACAAACCCTACTGCTGAAAAGACCTCTTTAATTTCACTAGGTTTAGCCTGCAAATTCCAGAAAAAAAAAAACGATGAGAAGAACATAGCTTTAAAAATGAAATTGTAGAAATAACAGGTAATCCAGGTTAAGAACCTTGAAAGGCAGATTTCGGATAATTAGTTTCCACTTCTGAGCCTTTGAGCCCTGCCTCCAACAAAATACCAAAGAGATCATGAACTGTTCCGAATGCTAATCAGTTAATATTGTTGAAAAGCAAATAATGCTCACCTCCCCACCGAGCTGACGAGCCCAAATGAGATTTCCCTTTATTTCTGTTTGATGTATTGCTACAACAGCAGCACAAGCAGATTTGACACTCGTAAAGAGAACAGCTGATGCATCTGTCCTGCATCCGTCTTGCGTAAGACCTGAAAAAAAAAAATTCTAATGCTTAATAAATGCACCATGAGCACAAATTCTGGCATGCTCTTATAAGAGAATCAAACGAGTTCATAACTACATGCCGACAGTAGTAACTACAGTTGGATAGGGTGTCTTATCATGTACATACACGTTTAACAAACTATTATTCAGCCATAAGATTATGAAACGGGAGGCAACAAGCACCAAAAGAAAGCTTATTAAAGGAAACCATGAGCAGGGGATGCATTCCAACAACAATAATCCAAAAGTCAAACCCATAAACCTGGAGTAGCGAGAAAAGGTGTTTATTTTTTGCGTACTCTCTCTGCCCAGGAATCTTGTAATGGCTAATATAATCTAATAATTAACAGAGACTCATGCCCCAATACTGTTCATTGGGAGTCATTATGTGCGGTGTTTGGAATACACAGATCCCTAGATCAACCAATTCTGATGGATAACTTGACGGCTAATACATATGTGTAATATCATTACAAAATAAAAACCTTGCACTAATAGATGAAACTAAAATCATGCAAACAGGCATTTGCCTCCATTTTCTTAACAAGATTATTACCATTTTGTTGAAGCTCTTCTTTTGGGAGGGGATATCTGACAGAGCACACAGTGCCAATCTCTTTGACACGACTATGGACTAACTCTGCCACCTCAGCATTAACAAGGCCACCAAAGATTACAGTTCTTGCAACTCTTCACCCAACGAGAAGAAAGAAGATTAGTTTTTTCAAATATATTATCGTCAATCAGATAGTCTTCCTTACAAAGCTTTATTAAAAACTTCATTCCAAATACAAAAATCAGCACGTTATCATAAAACCGTACCTTTGCTTATCTGAACATGTTTCTTTATCAGCTAAATCAACAAGAAGCTTTGTTGGTCTTTTGCGCTCAATTGGCTTCTCTATTTTCTTAACGGGTGGAGGAACTGATGCAAATACAAATTTAATGAGAACAAAACCATCATCACTAACTATTTCACTTAGACTAACAAACAAAATCTAGCCAATCTTATACCTGGCTTGACTATCTCAGGAACCAAACTGCCCTTGTCACTCTCTGCCTGAGAATCACTCTCAGGTAAAGGGATCCCTAATTTGAAAACACAAAACAAGAAATTGATGTCAATTCTGAGAAAAGAATCGTAATTGAGACCTTAAGACTCCAATGAGACTAACCTTCTGCTGCTTTAGTGCGACGCTCTTTAAGGGAAGGCCGATGCGTGGCCTGTTTAACTGTAATCTTACGCCCTCCAACAGTAGAACCGTTCTTCAACTCAATGGCACGGTTCACATCTTCTGGTAAAGCACTGCAGAGGTATAAATAGTGTAAGAACCAATATCACCTGCTAAGTGAGAATAATAAGGTGGCTTACAATTTAACAAAGGCAAAGCCACGGTGTTCATTTGATCCTGTAAACAAGAAGATAAGAAAAAAAGATGATTAGACCATTGATGAATAATAACTTTTAATTTTCAATAGTGACCAGATTCCGAATTCACTCACCTTTGTTTGTGACCATAAAGCAAAGTCTGACCGGACCAACATCGCTAAAGGTTTCTTCAAGCTAAAAAATTTGGAAGAAAACAATTACAGTGAGAGTTTGAAGAAATTCGATCAATTTTAAGGAGCTCAAAAACATCAATTTACTAGAGGGCAACATTGAATCAACAAAGTGTTGATGGATTCAAGTAATAAAAGACGATGAATGAATAGAGGGAGGAAGATGGTACCTGAGCGTTGGTAAAGGAATAAGGCAAGCCAGAGACGCATACAGTGGCAGCAGAGTGTTGAGATTTTTCTTCTCCATCTTTACTCTCTTTCTTGTTCTTTCCCATCGATACCTTGGACTTCCAGAGAAGTATATTAGGGTTTCACAATGTTTTTTGAGTTGCAGAGAGAGAAGGCTGAGAAATCTGAAGATGTGGAGGAAGAAGAAGAAGAAATCTAGGGTTTAATTACTAAACCAAAGTCAACCGGCTAACCCAGATGAAACTAACCAAACCGGTTTTAGTCTCTAACTTTTGTTAGCACAATTCAAAAACCCTCTGGTTAGTTTCACGAATCACGGCTCATCAGCTATATCGGTCAATGAAAAAGATGGTTTCGAAACGACTGCGTTTTGGCAAACGATTTCAATAAGAAAGAAGAAATGGGCCAGAGAATGACAAAGCCCAAAGGGCAGCCGCCTTTGAACGGAACCGTTAAACAACGGTTGTCTTTCATCACAAAACCGACGACAAAGAGCAAAATGCAAATCGTGACGAGGATTTGTACCGACAAGATTTGTCGAATCAAGACTCAAAAGCGGATTTGATGCTCTCATACTATCTAAGAAGCAAAATGGCAGCATTTTAGGTTAAGTTAAGAGACGAACCCTCTCATCTTTTTATATAAAATTGAATGTTTCCAAATTACTATTATAAAACATAAAAACTTCAGATCAATACACAAAATGAATCAGCTGGTTCTTTTTTTTTAAAAAAAAAAATGATTATGAAGTATATTATACACACGAACTAAATAAATGATAATTAAGCAAAATCGATTCAATAGAAAGAAATTATTTGAAAATGAGGCAAGTAATGTTGATTCTCTGTAACCTATTAATTAGATAAATCATAAGATTAGTGAGCTGATAAAATCGATTATGAAGATCAGTATACACATGTTTCGTTTTGTGGATGGAGAGTGAAAGACAAAAGAAATATTATAAACGCATTTCTCTAGTTTGATTGTGTGAATTAATAGAACATTGCATACTAATTAAGCTTAAACAGAATGAAAGACACAATAAGTAAAGATCAAACCTAATTTTAAAGATCAGACACTATCGATGGAATGAAATTTAAGGCCGGAATAATAATAATGTTGATCATGAAAAGCATCATGGTGAATAAATTCAAGGTCGGAGTATTAAATATGTTGATAGTGGTTAATAAAAATGTCCAGAGCTGGAATATATTCTTATCAAAAGCAATTGAATTTATATAATTTTCGAGGATCAACTTTGTTTTTTCTTTATAGATTATTGGTTTAGATAGTTTAGAAAAATGTAACATTTGATCAAAGTTTCATGTTCTAATTTTGTGCAGAAAATATTTTTTTCTTTGCTTTTAAATCTCTGAGCCACTTCTTATCGAGGTCATACATCCATAGAAAGACATCCGTTTAAAATTTGTATTGGATATGTTAAAAGTCATCCGTTTAACAGAGTCTTATTAAAATATTTGGATCTTTAAGTACTTTTATCGCATCAAGCAAAGATCAGAAAGCGTACTCAAACCCAATCCAACATGGCGTATTTGGAAAGCTAATACAATATATCAACTAAAAGCTATTAAGGATATGAAAATGTTTGAAGTCTCATGGATGATACCTTCTAGATTTGTTGAGTTCTGTCTGGAAAGGCTAGAGATATATCTAACTCAAGCATTAAGTAACAATGAGTTTCTTTTGTCTTGTGGTTTCTTAGAAGTTCTTTTATGGTTATTTGTAGAAGTTCCTTATTTCTAATAATTATTCTCCTTTCAGAGTGTGTAGGATCATTGTTTGCATTCTTTAAGGAGAAAGGATGTGTAACTTTTGTAGTTGTTGCGACTGGTGTTGTGGCTCATATAATGTACTCCAATTGGTCGTTTATTTACTATTTCTATGGACCTTATAAATACTGGCCTGGACGAGGTAATATAATCAAACTATTATGGCCTATCTCTTATATATATATATATGTTACATGTGAGATGTTTTGTCATTAATAATAACACATGTCAATCATGTTTTTTATTCTACATGATCCTTTGACAAAGGTTGAGAAGAAATGTGAGAACACCATATCTTACTCCAAATATCTAGACTACTATGGTCATATCCGCTTCCACAACTAGCCAATGTTCACTAGTCATAATATTTATGATTTCCAAAACAAAGAACAAAATGAGGATAAGAACAATTAAGATTTAGGAGAAATTAAAGACACTCAAGTCCACACTATTTTGGAGTTGGCTTATTTTTTGGATCACGATCGTGCTATTTTTTAGTGTGGATGTGACAGGTTTCTTGCTTATCTACCCAGTGCATGATCAGGCTTTGCTATTGACAATTTGTTGAAGACTCACTTTCCCATTCACCATGTTTGGCCATGGTATTTCACACTAGTTTTCTTAATTGTCAAGTACCTTTTCTGCCTTTGGTTCTACTTTTAGCCCCAATTGTTCTGCAGAGCTCTCTATAACATCTGAGCCATGTGACTTATCATTTTTAGTTGAAGAGAACTCAGTTTGTATTTGAACCATTTGTCTTGTCTTTGCTTTTTTATTATTTTTTTGAGACAAACATGTTTGAGATACCTCGTACTACAAAGATTTGATTTCGTCTTTGAACCATTTGTCATGTCTTTGATTAAAACTATCATTTCTTTATAACAGAAAGAAAACTCACTTAATTATATAGGCAAATGTTAATTATGTGATACATGATGATTATAAGTTTATAACTCCAAACCTGAAAATATACATGTATATGTATGTTAGGAGGCTCTAGATAGTTTTAGAACCATTTGATGTGTATAAATTATGTCTTTAATATAAGTTAGAGGTAAAATCCTGATGTTGTTATGATAAAGATTAACTAATTAAACATTAATCAATAACGAAATCTTAAACAAAATTATATTATTTTTGCGGTTGGAATATATCAAAACATATATGGTCGTAATCAAACAGGAAAATTGTAATTTCTGTTTACTTATATTACTATTTAATAATGGTAATAGCGTCAGGAATATAAGGATTCCATCATCGGAGATACATTTATGTCGTAGGAGGAACAATTTGTTTCTAAATATAGAAACAAATTGTTAGCGATTAAGTTATACTGTTCTACAAGTACATTCTCCATGAAGACAAGAGTAATAGTAGTCTTTAATAGGGCATTTACGAGAATCGGGACAATCACGGTCCGTTTTACACCTTATTGTCTTGGTCGGCTCAATCTCGGCTTTTAGCCGCTCACAAATGCAATGTCCATCTACACATCCCGCAACCGCACCTTGACACAACACGATACAGTCTTTTGCACTCCGGCATGACCTATGAGCTTGAATTCCAGAGGGGCTCACCAACAATGCGCCTACAAATTGCAAACACATATCAGTATATAACTTTTTTGGAGTCGGTCTTTTTAAATCGATTGAATTAATATATATAGAGAGAAGCTAACATGAGAGATAAAGAAGGAAAACTATGAAGATTGTTGTTTTTGATGCCGCCATGTCTTTTACCTGAAAGTTTAGGATGTTATGATTAGTTTTGTGGGTTTTATGAATTAAGTTTTGATAAACATTTCGTAACTTTACATCGTTGTTCGGATGCCTATATATATATTGTGACTTGGAGCATGTACATGGCATACTGGCATAGTATGACTCTGACAGATTAAGGATTTTGCAAATAAGGTAGCGTATATTTTAAATTGCTACAAAGTATATTCTACAAATAAAAACGTATCAATTTTCATATTTCATTATTAACACTTTGCATTTACCTACAAAAAGAATAGAAAGTATTCTTTTTTGGTCAACAAAAACAAAAAACAAAAAATTTCTTATTCCTATTATAATTTTTTTGGCTAGTGGCTACTATGAATGTGTGTAGTTTAGGTAAATAAAATTTAATGTATTTTAACTTAAATAGAATGTATTTTTTGTAAACAGAAAACGTATCAATTTGGATTTTTTTTGTCAACAAAATATTTGACTGCTTTCCTTTTATAATTGGTTGACTACGATGATACTATTTCGTTATACGATCAGGAAAACTGTCGACGGTTACATGTGCTTCCCTATACTGGCTTTATTGAAACTAGATCAAAAGAAAGTGAGATTTTTTTCGCGGCATATTTTATATTGATGAATCTTTGTAAAATGCGAAAGGAGAAGAGCTAAAGGAGACTATAACGTCGCTTTCTTCCCTAAATGAAATTGAGACAGTCTCTCTATTCAGTTCAGAGGCTTTCACTATTTGGTCTCTTCTATACTTTTCAAATTCAACAAAACGTCCCGCAACTAACAGCTAACGACATGGTCGTGGAAGAAAACAATTAAAGAAACAGAGGAAAACAAAAAACAGAGACTTGAGGAGATATTTTAGATAATCCACAAGGAAAACTGTAACAGATAAATCAAGGGTGATTAATGACCAATCGCATAGAATTATGAATCATTTTCCCCTAGAATCATCATCGGTTAGAACTAATATCCGAAGTTCGTGTTTAAGCCAAAACTTTACAGACTTCGAACCCTCTAACTGGTCCAAAAGCTTTATCTTTTTTTCTCGTCTTTCTCATGAATATAGCCATCAAGTCAGCCACAAGCTCCTTGTCATCGTGCTTCTTCACATACTTGTTTAAGAAAGCTTGATCGGTAATCGCCAATACCGGCGATAGTGCAGGGAGTTCACTTCCGATCAATCCTTTGGACATGAGAGCTTTGATTACGTTACACCTTGGTACAATCCTCTTCTCCATGCTGTATCCAAGTATTGCAGGTGTTGAAGCCACGGCCTTTAGTGGCCAGTTCATCTTCTTCACCAGAAACTCAGTCTTCTTCTTCACATTCTCTGCAGATAAATTAAGACCCTGAGGGAAGCGGTTGACCATAATCACAAACTCATCTCTGCTGAATCCCAAGCCTAGCAATGTATCAATGAAGTTCTCTATCCTCTGCTCTGAAACACCAATGCAATGCGGAGACTTCTTGAACACTGAAAGGATCTCGTTTTCGACTAGTCCACACTTCTTCAGGGTTTCAAACTTCTTAGTTATCTTCTTCTCCGAGTATGTCAGAGAGTTTGGCCACTTCTTGAACATAGTCCATACATCTTCCACAGCAAAGCCTAAACTTTTATATACATTGACTTTCTCTTTTATTGTTTCTTCCTTCAATCCCTGAACAATGCGCAGAGCCTCGACAAACTTTAAGCTTGTTGGATCAAAGCCCATCTCAACAACCTTCTTGAGAGATTCTTCAAATCTTTCTTTTCCACAGGCAAATTTGGGTCCGGAGATGAGCAAGGGGAGCAACAACCGCTGAGGCACACCAAGTTCTCTCAAAGCCAATACATTTCTGAGTTTATTCTCCTGCTTACTACCCTGTGGCAAAGAATGAGATAACTTTTTGAACTTGGAGCTCTTATCCGCTTCTATAACCTCTTTGATGAAATCATAGTATACATTGAAAGCTTTGTCCTTTTTGATACCCAATATCTTTGGGACTTTAGAAACAATCTCTGTGAGCTCAGAGGTTGAAGCTCCTCTAGACTGCAAAGACTGAAGCTTGGGGCCAATAGATCTCTCAGCATCTGCTACAAGCAGTTTTGAATAATCCGTAACGATGGTGGAGACTTGAGAATCTGTGAACCCATAACTTCTAAAAAGAGTCAGGACAGTACCAGGGTTTTCACTGTCCTCGATACTGACTTTCCTTGAGATCGATTCCGCGAGTTTTGTGGTCAAACCAAGTGACTCAACGAGATAAGAGACAGTAAAATTGTTCCCTTTTTGACCATCTCTAGGGCTCACATCAGGAGAAGCAGCAGCAGCAATGGCAGTGGAGAACGAATTGGAAAAAGCAAATACATTTTGAAAAAGCATCACTAGAATTCTCGGATTCCGCCATTTCTGCAACTCGATAGACTTTTTTCCATGGAATATCAGAGAATACATTACAATGCAATGAGATTACCAAAAGAAGCAGAAGAGAAGAAGAAATCGAAAATGCAATGGGATTTACCGAAAGGAGGAGAAGAGAATCAAAGACCGAACCAGGAAACTCCAAGCAGCGATTAAGTGTCCCAAAAAAAAAAAAGAATTCGCAAAGAACAAGAGTATTGGTCTGAATGGGGGTATTTTAGATAAAACCCTAATTTCGTGTAACATGACCTTATTGGGCCTAATTGGGCCTGTGGGAAGATCGATGAAAATTGAAGCCTGGAATAAGTGGCTCTTTCTAAGAATGGCAAGGACTCGTCATATGTACGGACACCAACACCCTTCAACATATTCAGAAGCTTTCACTGTTTTGTTCTGTCTCAATTTTCACAAAACGTCCTTTCCAAAATCATTTACAGAAAATTTAAGAAATTAGATGCATAAGAAAACAAACGATTTCACGGACTCTTTAGTTCGGAGACAATGATCATAATCTGTTTACACTTTAGTCACGGGATTGACCTTGAAGTTAGCATCGATTCAAAAGATCCAAAATATCCAAAAGAAATAAACATTTTAAGGTTTTTACTGAAAACATTATTCCAAACTTTCTTAGTTGTTACGCAATAAAATGCATCCAAAACTTTCTCGAAGTTTGGAACTTTTTTTTCTTCTTCACTTTCATGTCATACACATGTTCGTACGTACCATACCAAATAATCAAATCTACTATACACTCATTACGTAGTGGTTTCCATCCACAACACCTAGAAGAGTCACGGGTAACACTTAAGTTTCACCTATATATTTACATGCTATCTTGCCAAAAGATTTGACAAACAATGCAATGAAAGTTTAATTCTTGAGAAATTCAAGAACCCTAAGATAATGAGGTCGATAAGGGTTTCAGCTTCCTTCTTCATTTTCTTGATCGTCACGGTCATCACATTGCCACCAACGATCCAAGCTTGCACTCCTTGCACTCACCCTCACCCTCCTGTTCCGAAGCCTCCACGTCATGGTGGTGGTGGCGGCGGCGGTGGTGGAGGCGGTGGCGGTGGCGGTGGAGGTGGAGGTGGAGGAGGAGGCAGCAAGCCACCACCACATCACGGAGGAAAAGGTGGTGGTAAACCGCCACACCACGGTGGAAAAGGTGGTGGTAAACCGCCACACCACGGTGGAAAAGGGGGAGGACCGCCGCATCATGGTGGTGGTGGCGGGCCACCGCATCATGGTGGAGGAGGGAGATCACCGCCATTTGTTAGACCTCCTCCGGTAGTTTATCCACCACCAATGGTGAGGCCACCGCCAATCACAAGGCCTCCTCCAATCACAAGGCCTCCTCCGGTGGTCTATCCACCACCAACGGTAAGGCCACCGCCGATCACAAAACCTCCCGGAATTCTTCCACCAATCATAAGCCCTCCTATTCAACCACCGCCGGTCACAACTCCTCCGGGACTGCTCCCTCCGATCCCAACTCCTCCGGGACTGCTCCCTCCGATTCCAACTCCTCCGGGACTGCTCCCTCCGATCCCAACTCCTCCGGGACTTCTCCCTCCGATCCCAACTCCTCCAGGACTCCTCCCTCCGATCCCAACTCCTCCGGGACTCCTCCCTCCAATCATTAACCCACCTCCGGGCACAACTCCACCACCATCCTCCGGTTATCCACCTTACCACGGTGGTCCACCTTCCGGAGGAGGTGGTCCACCTCCCGGAGGAGGAGGGGGTGGCGTACAACCAACGTGCCCTATCAATGCATTGAAGCTTGGAGCTTGTGTTGACGTTTTGGGAGGATTGATCCATATAGGGCTTGGAAATCCAGTGGAGAATGTGTGTTGTCCAGTGTTACAAGGGTTACTTGAGTTAGAAGCAGCTATTTGTCTTTGCACAACCATAAGGCTTAAGCTTCTCAACTTAAACATCTTCATTCCTCTTGCACTTCAAGCTCTCATCACTTGTGGACTCACTCCTCCTCCTGGTTTTGTCTGCCCTCCTCTCACTTGATTTAACAAACAACGTACGATATATATCAAGGGTTTCGAGGGTTTTGTAATAATCTAAATATATGTATATTTGTGTTCCTTTTGATGATGATCAGGTTTGTTGATCATCTAGGGTTTTCAAAAATGGTTGTTTTTTGTTCTTGTTGTCGTCGTTGTGGTTAAGCTAGGGTTTTTACGTGAGACTTCTTTAGTTGTTTGCTGTATCTTTCGTTTCGCTTTGTTCCAGCTTCTCGCTGTCCTATCTATATATTGACTGTTCTATCTCTCTCTCATGTACAAGCAAGCATGCATGCAGATATCAAAATGTATGTGTCATGTGTACGTGTACGTACCGAAAAAAAGCTTTTGAGAAGAGAATATAGCTAAAGCAGCATTCCAAAAAGAACTGTCTTTTGTCATAAAACATAGCTAAGCTACTACACATAAAGGACATCTGTTCTCATAGAGATATTTGCATTATTCTAAAGGCAAAATCTATCATTTCTTTTTGAACAAAAAAATATATATAGATAAAAAAAATTAACTCAGATTTGTTTGTTGGATAAAGTATAATTACCACAAAAAATATATATATAATTTAGTCACATATGAATCCAGGAAAAAAGGTATAAGAAATACAATTTTTATTTATTTTTTCCAAGTTTGGTTCAGTACATGAGAAGTTGTTACGTGTTTCATTATTCAAAAAACTGTACATAGCTTCTACTGTTTCACACTCTATGTACCTACACGTACAGTACACAATATCTATATATATATATATATATATATATCAAATTCTATATATACTTCTTTATACAAGTTGAGTGCACATGTAAACAAAAATAGTTCACGGGCTGATCAATATAGATCCATTGAATTTTAATTGTTCACTAAGGGACCATCCAATTCGGAAATGACAGGCAACACACAATCGTGGCACAAAATCATAGTCTCGCCTTTTTAGCACATAACATGAAAGTCCAATTATTTTGATATAATTTTACAATGTGTGGAGCAGAGATTTCGAATAAATTTTATATTTTTCAAATTTGATTTAAATAATGAACTTAGTACCATTCTTAGTGTTCAAAAATCAAAAAGGTCTAAGTAAACCGGTGGTTTCGGAAGACGTCCAAAGCTTGCGAGTTTGCAGTTATGAATATATAGATATTTATATTATTAGTATAACTATTATAAATGTCTTAAATGGTCATCTATGTTAGATTGTGATCAGTTTGAAACGAATAAAATTGTAAAGGAGATGACACATGTAACTTCTATTTTGATAGGATGATTCAGGTTTTTACCGTCCCACACACATAATTTACGTTAATGTCTTTCTCTCCTAGGTCAGCAAATCAAATTGTGTGGATAACCTGTCGGCTGTCTCCTGAGTCCTGAATCAAATTTTGATATATTCTTTTAGTGAAACTTTAGTTACTAACGCTAAGTGAAAATCGATGACTAACGCAGCCAATCAGCAAACCAATATCAGTTACTCACTTACTTGTAAACACAACATGATGGAGCCAAAAAAGGTTTTTAGCTTAGACGTTATGTATTTCCTCCTAAAGCAATATGTATGTGCTCTTAGACCATACGTTGTCTCGAAGCTGTTCAACTTTATTGTGTTCTAAATATGTCTTTATTGTTTGTTCTGTCACGCGATACCGTTCCATGTGAATGAGTTTATAGCAAATATAAAATTTTACTCTCACGTAAATGTCCCATTCAAATCGCGGGGAAAATCAATATATATATATATATAGTATTAGATCTTAAAAATTTATATAGTTCATAATTGTGACATTCCGATTTTCGGTATATGTGAAAAAGGTTATAAGAATTGATTTGGCTAGTACATATGTTATTAAAGTGCATTTATCTTTTTCGGTCAAGTGTCGAGAACTTCAGAGTTAAGCGTTCTTATACTGGAGTAATCTCAGGATGGGTGATCTATCGGGAAGTAATCTGCGGTACCGTGCCAGTGAAGACAAAACACGGGAAAATATCATGTGGTAATTTTTGGGATAGTAGACAACTATTACGAGCCTCCCGGACCAAGCGAGTTCCGACAGTCGGACAGGGGTGGATCCATTGGGCCTAGAAAGAGGCCAACCGTCGGACAGTGGTGGGTCAACAGACCTAAAAGAAAATATGTTGCGGTTGGTGGGCCAACGGGCCTAGAGAGAGGACGTTGGGCCAACGGGCCTAGAGAGAGGACGTTGGGCCCCATAGTATATGGCGTTGGGCTCACTAGTAGGGACGGTTGGAGGCGTTCAGAGTTGATAACCAATCCATATGAAAGGCGGATTCGGGGTCTCATGGATTTGATAGCCGATTCGTCTGGTTCCCGGAATGGAAGAAGGGAGCGGAGTCTCACAATTGGTATCAGAGCCAAGGTTAGCCAACCCGCTCTAACCCGGATGGCGTCTTGGGATGTAGTTAAAGAGAATTCGAGGAAGAATTCCTTAGAAGTCGGGGGAGAATTGTGACATCCTGATTTTCGGTATATGTGAAAATGCTTATAAGAATTGATTTGGTTACTACCGATGTCATCAAAGTGCACTTATCTTTTCCGGTCAAGTGTCTTGAGAGAACTCCAGAGTTAAGCGTGTTTATACTGGAGTAATCGGATGGGTGACCTACCGGAGAGTAGTTTGTGATACCGTGCGAGTGAGGACAAAGCACGGGGAAATATCTGTGGTGATTGCAGAGACAATAGACAATTTTTACGAGCCTCCCGGACCAAGCGATTCCTGACCGTCGGACATGACTGAGCCCAATGGACCTAGAAAAAGGCCAACCTTCGGACAGTGGTGGGCCAACGGACCTAAGAGAAAATGTGTTGGGCTCACTGGTAGGAGCGGTTGGTGGGCCAACAGGCCTAGAAAGAGGTCGTCGGGTCTTAGAGTATACGGCGTTAGACTTACTGATAGAGATGGTTAGGGGCGTTCAGAGTTAATAACTAATTTAGATGAAAGACGGATTCGAGATCTCATAGATTTGATAACTAGTTCGTCTGGTTCTCGGATGGGAATAAAGAAGCGGGGTCTCACAATAATCATGAGAGATAGGCAATTTTGCATGTTCGTTATAGAAATTAATCTCAGAATTCAAAAGATATTATTATCACAACTACATTCAATGTAATGTGTGTATATATAGATTATACTTTCATTCAAAACCAAAATATGTTTACAAATATTAATAAGCTTTTTTCTATTAAAAATACAATATAAGCTTTGGAAAGGAAGAGGGTCGAACAATATTTAACTTTTGAATGAAAACTTTTTTTTTAGAATTTTCTTTTAATATTTTATCATAGTTTAAAACAAATCATTATATATTAGGTCGGATATTAAATAATATATCTGGAAAACGTGTATATGAATAATATTATAAAAATATTGAACATATTTACATATGATGCATATAAAATCTGATTAAATCATATAAGAGAGATAAGTATGATTAATGTGGAATAGACGAAAAAAAACTAAACAAACGCGTGGAATAAGAGTTGAATGAAGATGATAGTAACTGTATACGTCGACCTGGTAAAAGAATTACTAAAGTTTCCCCTAACTAATATTATAATACTCCAATTGCTTTAAGTTTGTATTTTAGAGATAATCAATTGTATTACTCGTTTTGTGTGAATAGCACTTGAACTAACATATTTGGAGGTTAATATGCGCGGTCCAAATGCGATTAAGAAAATGACCAACAAAAATTTGTGTCACCACTCTTAGATTATATGCTCCCCCTAATGTGAGCATTATTAATGCCCGGCCAATGAAAACTTGACAATATAGAAATTAGTGTAGACAAACCATTTTTTCTTAAGGGCTGATTGAGATAGAGAGTGTCTTATAAAGTTATAATATAGGATTTTGTTTGGTGTACTCGTGGACAGAAATTTATCACCTGGAAATTAAATTTGGGAATAAAGGAAATATCTAGGCATCGATGAGGGACCTTAAAACCTCTTGTTTTTGTTCTGTAAAGTTGACAATCTATTTTTTTAGATTTATTCTTGATTGTTCCATATATAAATTTTCAACTGATTTCTTCGAATCCATTATTCATTTGTCAGTGTCACTAAGCCATAAACATCGAATCCATTATTCATTTGTCAGAACATATAAATTTTCAACTGATTTTCTAAGACCTGATGCGTGACATGTTCTGATGATGTTCCATATCTCTGTCGAAATTCCTTTCGTAAATTTTTATAAAGTCTGGATTTTTATCTTAAATTTTCAGTTAGTTTTATTGTTATTATGTTTCAAAAGTCTCACCAACTTTAAACAAAAAATAATTCGTTTTTTTTCTTCTTTTCAAAACAAAGCACAGTGTCCACACAAGAATCTTGACGCGTGACATCAATAAATCCAAATATGGCCGAGTTGCCTCATCCATCTTTGAGTAAATTATTTTCGACATCTAATTGGTGACAGTCAAAATCCAGCTCTAGCTATCTTATTTCGAAATGATTGTTTGTTGTCTTTCGCTTGGACGTAAATCAAATAAGATTTAATTCATGTTGCCTAAAGATTATATAATTCTAAGATCGAAAACATTATTAACACATGATTTATTAATTCATACGACAACCAATACAACATCATCACCCCAATGACCGTATAAGAAAACAAAATAAAAATAACTGTAAAGTTTAGAGTTTGAGGAGTTACAAACACACACACATACATAAATAAATAACACACAAAAAGGAGAAACAAAGACAATAATCATACAGGATCTATCTTATATATCATCTTGTCTGTCCAAACAAGAAGACATGAAGTTTTGGTTGTGTAATTAGAATATTGATTAGCATTGAAAGCCAGGTGGAACTTTTTTGCTACAAACATTGAGAAGCAGACTGAGAGAAAGCGGGATGTTCAGGTTGATCCCGAGGATATTGCCCTTGAGTGCAGTGCAAAGACAAGCCGCGGCTTCAAGATCAGCGAGTCCTTTGATGAGGTTGCAACATGGCTCGACCGGTGGTTTGCCAAGGGTGATGTTGAGTAGACCGTTGAGTACGTTGGCGCAGACTCCAAGCTTAAGGGCGTCTCTAGGGCATTTCTCTGTGGTGGGGGTAGGGCTCGGGCTTGGGGTTGGCTTGGGTTTAGGGTTAGGTTTTGGCTTGTGAGAGGGTTTATGTTTTGGCTTGGGAGAAGGGCAACCGCAGTTGCCGCAGGCAGAGATTGTTGTGAAGAAGAGGATGTTGAGAATCAAGAAAAGGGCTAAAGAGGTTGTGGTTCTTGAAGCCATTGTTAGATTCCTCTTTTGTTTAGAGACAAAAGAGGCTTCAAAAGAAACGCTGTTACTTTGGTTTGGGTGTGAGTAGGGATGAGGAAAAAATGGAGAGTTCGAGTTGGCTTTTATAGTAGTTTGAAGGACGTGCCAAAATGGTTCATGACCTCATATATCTGATATTTAAAAGAATATTCGCGAAGTTTTGATTATTTGGTTTATACTTCTTTTTGGATTACAGATAAAAAATAGGTTTTTGGTAAATGAAAATCTTTCTTAAGCATATAGACTATAGAGCATTGACTCTCGAATTTGAGACTCGCCAAGATTCCTCCAACCAGTTAAACAATTAAACTATAACAACATTTGCATGATTTTATCTATTACGGGATTGATTGATTATTATGACTATATAAGGTTAATTATTATATAATCGATTTTTGTGGCGAGTGATTTGGTAATTTTTAGTATAAAAAAGATTTTCTATACAAATATATATATATATATATATATTGCGATTAAAATTAAAATATTGAAGTTGAGGGAAAAGGCCAAGATTGAAGCCAAGCCATATGTGGTCCTTGGAACATTGATCTGGCAATCAACATATGGATCTTTATTGAAGGTGAACTTTTGGAGTTTTGTTAGGATCCTCAGATTATGATGAAACTCTGATTCATGAACTTATCCTTTAGGTAATATTTTTTAAGATAATTAAACAAAATTGCACTATCTAATGAGAAAGTATCAATTCGATCAATTGCCCTAGAACTTAGGCATACCATCGAAAAGGAAACGTTACGAGATATAGATATACTTCAAATGAATACTCTTTAAGCAACTTTTTTCTTAATCTTTGATTCTCCTTTCTATCACTTTTTGGGGTTACATTTTCAGGTTGTATCAATTTCACGGAGAAACTGTAGTTGTTTTCGCCCGAAATTATTAACCGGAGAAAATGTTATTGTTGTTGTTTCGTTATTTACATATATAATGCATATATGTAAGCATGCACTGCGTCGATTCATTTGGCTCCAGAGCTTTGAGCCCTTGCATTAACATTGGCCAACTGTTAACTTTTTTGAAGATTAACCCTGGGAAAGAGATCCACTTAAACACTTTGTTAATTTGTATATAACCTATAAAATATCCGTACTTTTTTATACATATATATATATATATATAAACGTATAAAATATTAGGGGTATACTTAATTTGGAAATTGGCAATCCTTAACATTGAAGTTCCATACAGTAATGTTTTCAAAGAAATTAACATTTACAATCGTGATACTCAACTCAACCTCCATACATCAATGTTTCAAAGAAGAAGAAAAACATCCCCAATCGTGATACTCAATCTCCATACATTAATTTTTTCAAGTAATTAACATTTTCCTTCAGGTAAATGTGATAGCGAAATTTCTGATTCTCCTTCTTTCCTTGACAAACCAATTGAAAACAAGATAAGATGATGAAAGACACAATTGAGGTCTCCTTAGCATCGACCACCAAAGATGTCTTATTTACGACGTGTACACGTGTCTTATGAAAATAAGTTATCCATTTTACAGATTGTGTACATGTGTCTCAAATAGATTTACGATTTCTGTACACGGAGATTTTATGTGGAAGTTATTTTAATACCACTTCATTATTTATATTTTTATACAATCAAGCTATTTGGATTGTATCCGTAGAACCAATAACGAAAATATATAATTTTTCAGCATAGCGATAATCGCTAGACAAAAAACCGTCGAGAGTATATAGTTCGAATTTTTTATTCAGTTTTATAGTCCATCAATAACGAAGTACATTAGATTTAAGTATGTAACAAAAAAACGTTATGGTAAACACTCACTCTTTTTTTTTTCAGTGGGTGATTTAATTATAACGAAACTAGACTTTAGAGTTTAGAGAGGGAGTTTTTTTTTCAATATAGGCAATAAATCATGAGCATTATGGAAAATAGTAAATTGATAACAGATGTAAATCGAATTAGAGGAATTTCTTCCACCTGGTTAGAAGAAATTTAATTTTGATAATATTGACTTCATAGGTTCATTGTGTGTCTAACAGGCTGGGCTTTAGCCCATATAATTAGCCCGATAGTTTAATCATTACAGAAACCCATGGGCGTTTTCGGCTACCCCAATGGACATTTAGGACTCACATACAGCAGCTAGTTTTCTTTTTCGACCCTCTACGTTATAGTTTCATTCCAAAACATACTCATATATATATATATATATATATATATTTCTTGACATTCTTGTCGATGTAATCTCTTTTTATCTGCCAGCATTTAATTTTTTTTCTTTTTTTAACATTAACATGTAATATGTTTCTCATAAATTATTGACGAAGGTGTCTTTAAACGTATTATATGGGAAGGGAAGACATATATAGATGAACCATGCACAATAAAACTCGACCAGTAGACTAAACATCTATTCATTTTTTTCCACGATTGATTTGTAGGATTTTTAATAGCTTATATATTTATATAATATAGTATTCAGACCATACATGCGTGGCGATAAATGAACGAGAGCAATGTTATGTTTATATTGCATGTTTTATCAATTAAACAAAGATGGATGAGAGATTATAAGTTATAACTTATAACTGTATATGGGGTGCATCTATGGGAATTATTGAGATTGCAGATAACCAATAAATATACCATTTTTGGGTCAACCTGTGCATAAACAGCGTACGTTCTTGTCAGCGTAGGTTCTTTAAATTCTTGAAATATGGGGGAAAAATGTAAGTGGTACATTTAAAGCTCTTTAAATTGGATTGCATCAAGTGTTTTAAAACTAACCGGTCGGGTCGGTTGATGCATTATTTTCTTTATAATTGTGAATAACATTTTTTAAATGGAACCAAACCATTTTGGAAAATGTATGATGCACTTGCACTGTAATTGGAAACTCCCAAAAAGAAAAGAAAATAAAAACTCTGAACTTTAATCTTCGATAATTGATTTAAAAAGCTTTGTAATTATCACATTTCTTCTGATTTTGAATTTTTAGTTCGTCAAAATAAATGTTTATCATAAATGCTTGTTCTTCCAATATTTGAATCGGCCTCTTGCTTTTTTAGTATACTATCATGACAGCCAATAATATACAGAACATATTATTAGAAAAGGCGTCACTCACAAAACCGTAATGTGGAAAAATAAGGAAATGAAAAAAGTGGATCTTTTCTACCTTACACTCCCTCTATTCTACATTTAAAAGGTTTTTTTTTTCATTTTATAAGATGTTTTACAAGTTAACACCAACAATTTTTTTTACAAGTTTATATGTAAATTTTAGTATTATTTGGTACTTTTGACTCTCTAAAATTTACAACCTCGTTATTAATTATCCACTGAATATGCTTTTAACTAATTAAGAAATAATGCTTTCCTTTTTAATCAATCAATAATCAATATATATGAACAGATAAAAAACTGTTATGCAAATCTTAAATGTAAGAGGTTATTGAGTCTGTTAATTCTTTTAATACAGTAATTCTTTTTATTTCATTTTTGTACTAATATCAATATAGGCGCTTTAAAATTGGTGTGGATATATATAGATAGTTAGATACCAGCAAATATCCCAAACTTTTAACAAATACAGAAGCTTATTATATTTGAAATTTAGGCTGGGGTGCTAATATTGACGTACATATATACTATACATAGCCATTAGAATACATGCATATATCAAATACAATATTAAAAGAAGTCGAGATATTCGACTAGTGCCACCCCTAAGGCCCTAACTATAACTGTCACATTTTAACTTTGATTGAGATTATTTGTCTTTCAGATTTGGTTCACCCCTATTTTATTTGTAATTAAACTAGTTATTGAAGTTAAAAATAAACGAAAAAGAGGGTTAAAATTTGAACACCGTTCCCGGAGGAGACCAAGAAGATTCTTTAGGGCAAAGCGTGAAGTAAAAAGGCTGTCGAAAATAGAACATTACAATTACAAACTTACATCTTTCACAAAACCCCAGTTTCTTCCCAACCAAACTTCCTCCTTGGCTCTCCTTTTTATTTCAGTTCCAAACCCCATCCGTATTTGATTTCGTTATTCTTTATTGTGGATCTCATAATCATTACACACTTTATAATATATATTATTACTATCAAATAATTTGAATATGAAAGTGAGAATGGCTAACTAAGCCCTAGGTGTTTCTTAACTTGCACAAAATAGTCACTGATAATTTCCAAACAACGATGCAACCCTAGACTTTAGAATTGATCAGCTTAGTCCAAATTGGGTTTATAGTGTATTTGTATTACCCACTTTATACAGAATTTTAATGATTTGTTCATTAGTTTAAAATTAAAACGCTACGATGACATATATTGGTTTTAACTTTTACGTTTCAACGACTGCATATTGTTACATTCCTAAGGAGCGTTTGTATGTGGACATACATGTACAGAAATGAAAGAAATATCCCTTCTTTTTTTTTTTTGTAACAAGTGTAAAGAAATATCTCTTTAATCTACCTTATCTATGTATTAATGGCTTTTTATCCAAAAAGTATTGATGGTTTTTTTCCTTGTAATTCATATCAAAATAGAACTTCGCTAGTTGAAGTTTTGGTATATATGCTTCATCATGAGTTTTGGAATTAATATGAAACTTGGTAAAATAGATCCAGATTTCCAAAATAAAGAGTTTTGGAATTAATATGAAACTTGGTAAAATAGATCTAAATTTCCTAAATAAATAGTGAAGGCCGTTTTAAATAGATTTGAAAAGTTAAGGATGGTTAGTTGATGTTTAGTATTTAAATACCTTAAGTCAAGTATGGACATGAATTCAAACCATTTATGATTACGTGCGGAATGGGAGTATCTGTTATTCTATTATTTTGTTTTGCTTTGTTGTATTGTTTAATAGTATTGCTTTAATTATGTGTTTACATATTTCAACGTTGTGGCCTCCTCATGTTACTACACGACCCACTCTCCCAAAAGTTTCGTCACTATATAATAATCATTTCACCATAAAAGTTTAAGTATAGTATATACCGTTTTTAATGCATATGTGATCTGTTCTTTTCGACATACACATTTTTTCTTATAAACAGGTTAATAATTCTCCATTTCTCCTTTTTCAAATGATTATATATCCAACCAGATTAAGCTGGTATAGCTCTGGCTTATTGATGAGATTTAATATATAGTAGTTATATGTTTATGAAAATCTTCATAATATATGCGTATCCATACTTAGCTATGATCGATCATATGGTTAGTCTAGAATTTAACCAAAAATATACAGAAAGTAAAAATATTGTAAACCTCGATCCTATCTACAATATGTCTTACATATACATATACAATGAGCAGTTGAGCCAAATTAGAACATAAAAAACGACTAATGACAACCTAGAAACCCTTTAATGTATTCTGTATAACTATCGTTCTAAGTTTTTCTCACACATATAAAAAATGTTGAAATTGTCTATGATACATCTTTATATAATTATTTAAATAGATATTTTTAAAAATAAACTTAAATATGTAAATTATTACATAAAATATTATTAAATAAAAGAATATAATTAAAATATAAAATGATATAGTTGTCTTTTAAGGTTGTGTAAAAGATTTGGAAAATATATATTTTTATTAAAAAAGTTATTTATTATTTATATTTTGAATTATTATTTATATATTTAAAAATACTAGTAATATATATATATATTAAAACAATATATCCATTCGAAATTTTATAATACCTTTATTATAATTAATTTGGATATATATAAAATAAAAATTGAAAAGTATGTTTTTAATTTATAAATAACTAAACAAAAAATTAATTTTTGTAAAAATTATTAGATTAACCACAAAAATTAAAATTATTAAACGATGCATATTAAAATTATGTATTCAATATTATATATTTTTCTGAATTAGTTAGAACATTTTTTTTTAAACTCAAAATGAATTAAGTAAACAGATTAGTTTTGTTAGTTTTAGTTTGAAATCTCTTTCTATAATCAGTAATTAAATATATTATAAAATTAAAATTAAAATATTTTTATTTAAAAATTAATTTCATACTTACTATATAACACAGGTTAAATCCTAGTTTTTATATAATTTTAGCAAGATTCTATGCTGCTTTCTTATTACTATAAGCTAGTATAATAAAAGTCACAAATAATTGACAGAACTTATGAAAAGTCATTAATAAAACCAACCAGGATGTATCATTTTGTGATTAATCAAATGTTTACTTAGGTTGGACAAGGTTAATTAATATGATTAGGATAGATTATTATAAGTAAAATTTTAAGATGTGTGATTAAAGAAGACGAAAAAGAGGGAGACGACAAAGAGAAAGAAAATGGGTGTCATTATGCGAGAATTTCAAAATTTTCAGTGCGATTTGTTTTATTAGTCCATCGTTGGCAGCTTCCATTCTCTTTCTATTCTTCTATTCTTCCATTTTGTTTTCGTAAATCTCTAAATTCCAAAAGATTCCATGACCACGATAGACCCCTAATTTTTAAAGCAAACAATTTTTTTAAATATAATAGTAGGATTACAAGTGATTAAGATACGCATATCAGAGTATACAATATATCTATTTTTATATTATATTTATACTGTATATAGGGTCTTGGTTATGTTAACTCCTAGTTATGTTAACTCCTAAACCCGTGAACTTGGATTTATAATATATTACTATTGAGCTAAAAAAGACTGGGGGGAAAAAAAAAGAATACGAGATTATTCAAAATGTTTGACCAAAATTACGTGGTATATTTTGGTGTTTACTAATTTAATCAAGGTACTATTGATCAATGATCGATTCAAAGACGAATTATGATTCTTACAAAATCTGCTGATGTATGTATAAGAAAATTAGATATACATGGAAAAACAGTTTTGCTTTTATTCAACGGTGTAAATTATGACAAGTAAAACTTCAAAAATGTATGATTAATAAATACAAATATATATATGCATATATATATATAAATAAATTATGACAAGTAAAACCTCAAAAATGTATGATAAATAAATACAAATATTATATATATATATATGCGTATTCTTAAAGAGGGCTTAAATGTTTTTTTTAGTATGACTTGCGGAAAAATCCTGCCACAAACTGACTCATAGTTTTGGTTTTGAAATGCCAGCAATCGAATGAATAACCGTTGTTAATATAAAAGGACAACAGTATTTAGAAATTATAAATGATGGTAAAAAAAGATGTCGAAATGAAATCTAAATAGTTATTGATTATATTTTGTATGATAGCGTTGAAATCCACGTTGTCACGTTGATTTCGAAATATGTTTGTCATCGACTAGAAGATCCAGATACCATAATTGAATTGAATAGACATTACATGTGAAATTCTATTGTTGAGATAAAAACAAATAGAGTTACAAACTTGACGTAATTTAAAAAAATGTTCTTTGTATTTTTTTGTGATCCATTTATGATAAAAGTTAAAAGGACAAGAATCACAAGACTGTACCAAAATAAAAACAATAAAACCCCACTGTCAAGTTTTCCTTACATTTATTTCCGTCTTGTTCTTTGTATATTATCTTACATTCTTACATAAAATCAAAAACAAAATTTCTGGCCTTATAAAAATAAAATTGTTTTCTTCCATTTTTGATACACAGCTAACTAAATAACACAAGGGGGAAAAAATCACAAGACTGTACGAAATAAAAAAACAATAAAGTCCTGGTCATTTTTCGTTACATTTTTGTTATTTTTTCTATAATCTTACATAAGATCAATATCAAAACTTATGTTTTTACAAACTAAAACTGTTTTTTTCCATTTTTGATACAACAAGGGCCAAAAAAAAAAAAACAAAAAGCAATATCAAAAGACAAATTACCCACCCATTTACAGCAACTTTCCTTTTAATATGAAGGGGTAATATCGTAGTTTAAGCTTTCCAAGTTCCAAACTTTTAATATTCATCATCATCATCATCATCGCGCCATGTTGCTTTCTTTTCCTGCTTCAAAGTCATCTTAGAGAGAGAGAGAGAGAGAAACAGAGACAGAGAGCTTTGGACCCGGAACTTGGATATGGCAAGTGGTTGGGTCAAATCCTTACAGTGCAAGTCAAAAGCTTACGATGATGTTTACAATCCGATTAAAAACCCAAACCCGATTTCGAATCCGAATCCGAAACATCTAATGTCAAGTTACAGCTGCAGGAGAAGCACACAGAGTCTAAAAGACGTGATCGAAACCAAAAAACACAAACCAAAACCGAAAAAACCCAATCCAAAACCGGAGAAACGAGAACCCGATCCGGTTCGAACTCATTCAACCCGTATTCGATTATCCGGCGATTCCCCGACCCGAGTTCGTGACCCGTTTTTACCGACATTGACGGAGCTTGCGGAAGGGCATCAGTCGCGGAATGTGGTGGAGATTATTTTCCAGACGAGCTGGGGCCCGAAACCGTTTTCGGGTCGGATCGATATGATCTTCAAAGTGCAAAACGGGTCAAAGACTTTGACCCGGTTCGAGGAGTATCGTGAAGCCGTGAAGACTAGGAGCGTCGGAAAATCGCGTGAGGAGAACGCGCGTTCTGTCGCCGACGGAAACGAGACATTGAGGTTTTATTGTTTGGGTCCGAGCTATGGCGGTGGCGCGTGGGGTATTCTCGGAGGAAAAGGAGGCGGCGCGTCGATATATACCTTCGCCGGAAGTTGCACGGCGCACGATAAGGCCGGCGGAGGAAAAGGGAGGAAGGCAATGTTGGTTTGTCGGGTCATTGCGGGTCGGGTCTCGAAGCAAAACGAGTTACGTTACGACTCGGTTGACTCGGACGTTCGATCTCGGTTTGACTCGGTGAGTGGTGACGACGGCGAGTTGCTCGTGTTCGATACACGTGCAGTATTGCCTTGTTTTCTCATAATTTACCGGCTGTAAAAAAAAAATTATTTTTATTTTTATTTTCTAACTTTTGACATTGTAATTTCATTTATCAACGCAATTTTCCCCTTATGTTTAGGGAATTTTTCCAATGTATTGGTAGAAAATTGTGTTGATAAATGGTAATTAATTTTGTTGACCAAAAATTAAAAATGTTTACTACGTTAAAAAAATGGTAACTAGATATTTTATTTTACCCACGGGTAATCGATTTCTTAATTAATGCGGGAGTAAATACTGAATATTTCGGTGCATTGGCTTTTACATTGTCATAAATATATTCTTGTACAGTTGGGTTTTGATTCGTACATTCAAGAAACTCTCAATTCTTTACATCTACACTAAAAATCTCTGATTCACGAAAGATCTCTGATTCACTAAAAATCTCTATACGTTACTATTACAGTTACTTTCCTTAAAGTGAAAACTATGATTGGAAATTTTCAAATTTTGTAGTTTTGTTGATATAAAATAAATATTATTTCAAATTTTCACAGAGTACTTCAAGAGAAAGAATAATCAGTATAGTAAAGTGATTCCGTTTAAAAGAGCATTTGTAAAAGATGTAAAGTGGGAAAAAGAAGAAGAAGAGAAAAAGAGTAAAAATTGAAAATGAAATCATGAAAGTTCATTGGAGGCACATGGAGAAGAATATTAGAAGTGATGAAGAAAGATGAGAGGCCTAATCTAAATGATATTCAAAAGGTCCATTGGGCCTGATTTATGGAATCAGCTCTAAATTCTAACGAGTATCAAAAGTGTTTGAAAATAACCAAACTATCTTTTGACAAGTATTCATTTTCACATATAAGTTAAATAAGAATATTAAGGATCATAGACCAATAAGGTTGTTACTTTCTCCTCTAAATTCATTCAGTGATCATAAACTGTGACCTGAAAGCGCTATGTGTTAAAGCTAAATCAATGGAGCAAGAGCAAAGTCGTCTATTAAACCGCATAAACCGAGAATTTCCTCATAATCGGTTTATCTCCTTCTTCTACCTACATACGAACCTTTGTTGTTTCTAGGATTTGATCTGCATTTTCCGTCACTAGTCTTCCCCTGCATCTTCTTGTAATCTTTCGATCTCAAAACCGTTTCCAAGATGTTTATATCTTCACGGATCTCGTATCTAGAAAGTGATAAAAGTCCCGGGAGTATCTCCTTTTGAAAATTCTTCATTCTCCTACCTCTTCTCACGAATCCTACCTCTTTCTTGCTATTGCATTCATCTTTGCCTTTTGATGACACACAAGAGACATCTTCAGGGCTGGTTTCGATGATTCTTAAAGTGTGAAGCTCATATGAATCGCAAGAACAACCCGGTTCTTCAAGACCCATCTCGGGTTTATCTGAAAATGCTTGATCTTGAGATGAGCGTTTAGGCCTTGATCTTAGTGAGTCATTGAATGAAACCGCTGAGATGTGGAGTAAACATTCAGCTGCCATTTGAACTACTTCAGACGAATCTTCTTGTTCAATCCTCGAGTTCTTTTCAGTGGTGCAGCATGAAACCGGAGATTCGGTTTTGTCTTTTCCATGGACATCTTCTAAACAAATTGGTGTAAAACCATCTAAACCGCTCTTCTCGCTACTCTGGATGTATGGAAACTTCAAATCTTGGTAGCTGCATTGATGATGATTGGAAACTGGCTCATTAACCGGTGGTTGATTAAGATCCAGCAAACCTGATCCACCTGAGACGATAATCACTTTCTCACTTTTCTTGCCAAACCAATTTGTGTCGGATGCTTCGATCTTTGAGGGAAACCTCAAATCTATGGTTTCTTGAGAGCCTTTTGCGGAATAAACCTGAAATGAAATCTGATGATCAAAAAATACTTATAAAAACTTGGAATAGTGCAACTTTTTCGATATTTCAAGAAAATTATAAGATTTATGAGTTTATAAACACACAAAGACGAAATATAGTTGGAATCTATACCTGCTGCCCGAAGAGAGTGAGCTTTGTAATTTGATTTTGCTTAAAACTCTCATCATATAGCTCAGCACATGTCCTAGACAATTTTTCATTAGAGGACAAACAGTGAAAATGCATCGCGAAGCTTCTTGTCTTCCCTATCAAAATGCAACCATCGAATCCATAAACACAATATTAACTAAAATCATAACGATAGGTAAGAATTGTGACACTTTATAGAAAGCTAAAATTTTTTCTTGCCTCTCTCCTTTATCTACATTACCACATAAATTCGAACAGAGAATGGCCCTTGCAGATTCAAAATTATTTCATTAACAAAAGAAATTTAGCTACTAAAATGCATAACCACCATCTATGGTTGCATAACTTCAACCAGTAAGTACTAACATTGCAAATATTAGTGATCGAATGTTGTTGAACAGAGTAAATGTCCAGAATTCAAATACCAAAGTTTAAGAAGACAATTTTTATTTTCTGGTGATGTTTTAAAGAATCAAAACCATCAATCATATCTTATAAATTTCATAAGGAACAAAAATAACCTAATACTGATCATTCACATAGCGAGAGGTTTATGGTGTTCATTATCATTGTGACACTGAGAAAGAAAACAAAAAAAATCAATTTTGGTATTGAATCTCAATTGTAAGTATTAAATTTTACCAGAGATATCGTTGATGATTTACTACAATTTCCCCACAAAAACAACAACTAACAGATATACAATGAGGAAAAGCAATACCTTTATTGTATGGGATTTTGGATAATATATTACAAAGATCTTTTTTTTAATAGTAAAAAGAGGAGGACTTATTACCCAGAGAAGAAGTTTGAAGCTTTCAATGTTTAGATTGACCGACAGATCTATAAGACATGCTAAATAAAAGAAGTAATCATTCTCAATAAGACAATAGTTTCATGGTCAGAAATTCCATCAATAGTACATGTGTAAGAAATTGTAGAAGAAATATTACCATGAGGAGCGAAACAGAAGAGACTTTCTTCCTTATCTTAGAGAGAGAAAAAGAGGATTAGTGCCGATTATGGGTTAGCGGGACAGATTAGCAAATATATATATTTTTAACATGCAAATATTTCTCTGTAATTTAATGTTCACTTCTTCTTTTTTTTGTGGGTCAAATACTTTATTCTCTGTGAAAACAAAAATAATCTAGGTTGCAGGTTCGTCGATTTTTATTTCCGTTTCTTCATTCTTTTCTAATTAATGATTTCATGATTATGGATTGATTTTTGTTTTCACAATGATTATATTTTTTCCCACATGATATAGTGAAAAGAATTTCAGTTTTATTTGTAAATGGGGGAAATATCAAAGATTTGAGCTCTAAAATTTTCTGGGCCATGCTGTCCAACAGCATACTTGTGTAGAATCGAGCGTGGATGCGAAATTCGCGATATGGTTTGGGTTTGACTTTGGAGAGGACATCAAGACCTTCGCTTAACAAGCCAATGTTTCTATGTGAATAACAAGGAGAGGCCAACGGCCCATTTTTTACAAAACCCAGTTTATAGTGGGCCTGAACTACCCTCGCCGTGATCATTACTTTTTTATCGGTAAATTTTTGCAAATAGAAGAAATGCCATTCATGATGTCAAATTGCTCCTCTGGATTCAAAGATATTTAAAGATATTTAAAGAGATTTAGAGAGATAAGATAATATTATTTCTTTCGAATTGTTATGATTACAGAAGAATAAGTGGAAGTTTACATTATAAACGGTCCCAATGTAGGGTCAATTTATGTACCTTCCTTAATTCTGACTAATATATAATCCATCCTTAGTTATCACTTGTCACAGCGTCACTTATCTTGAGTCGAATGGTTTTAGCTACAACCACACATTGTCTATTGATAAGTCTAGTGAAAGTAAAACTAGAAAAATTGACAACTTTTTGGATCTGATAGCTACCGATTTACCTCACAATTATTTTCGCTATTAGAAAACAACAATATATTGGCTTTAACGATATAATAAAACTTTAAATCATAAAGTGTGTCCATCAAGTGGGATTCTCGAAATCTTCAGTGCACTATACTATATTCTTTGGATTTCAATCATGCAAAATAAGAAAATATTAGAGATCATATTGTTACGAAATGTTAGAGCATTTCCATTAGTGTTATCCACCCATGAATTTTAGGAATAGTTTAGTATTTTTTTTGGAGAAAAAAAAATATTAAAATATTAAAAAAAATTCCAGCCAATCACAACCTCCACCTGGCGTAAAAGATAGTCTATTTGTCTTTTATCTAAGGAACGATCCGTCAAAATTTATAGGAAATATCTAAGTTTTTGGGCCAAAACTTGGATAAAAAATGCCAATAGAAATACTCTTAACGTAAATTAGTTATGTATTTTATTATTTTAAGACGTTTTCTCCCTAGAGAACCAATCGCTTTTGTACTGTTTTTTTTCCTTGTTTGCACATACATTGCGCATAGGCATAATATAGGTAGGGTTGATTTTAAAAATGTATTATTGAGCGCCTTATATATTTTTCCCATTTTTTCCGTTCTTTATATACATACATAAGGCCATTTAATGAATTGTTAATGTATTGCCACATATCAATAGGTTGTGACAAGTTAATTTGTGACCACCAGTCACCATCATACATTAATGGTGTATTGACTGAGAGATGCGTAGCTAAACACAGAAAGAGAGGGGCTTATATATTGATGATTACTGATTAGACAATAGAATATTGGTAGTTAGACATTAGAAATATATTTCCTGATAATTATGTTTATAATAATTAATTTTAAGACAAACACTTTCTTACCTTTTTAATCCAATAGATCTTACGTTGTAGATTGAGATGGACTCTCCAAAATACAGAAAAAGGAAGAAAGAGATGTTAGTTTCCTAATGTTGTTATATGAAGTTTGAAAAATATTGTCATTTAGCTCTCCTGTCACGGCGTCACAACAACCTCTCACTATCTTTAGTGGAAATCGGATTCACGATCTTTTAAATTACCACTCTTCAATTTTCTATTATATGTCATTTTCTTTATTGTTGGGGATTTTTGATCATCTCTAATTTCCGTATATTCTAATGGCTTATCTATTTTTGGATCAAACGGGTTATAAAGAGTTTGTTTTAGCAAAATTCCAATATTGTATTATTGTGTAGTGACAATATCTCTCTCTCTAAAGGGTCGTTTTATAGCATGACCCAAAGTGATTAATATATTGCCACTTTTCAGTATATAGTGACAAGTTTTATTGTGACCACCTTGCATTGGTTGTGCACTGCTTTATTAGGTAGCTAAACAGGTAAATGTGTTGTTCACGTGTCAGATCATCATGAAAATAGAAAGACTTGCCGATCTATATATCCCTAAATAGTAAACTAAAATTAGTGTCAATATTGTATCCCAGATATAACTTAAAGCATCGTACTTAACCAAACAATCAGAGCCTTTATTTCTGTGTATATTAGTTTGAAAAAATAAGGCTGAATTAGTTTACTTCGTTTAAAATATATGGAAATCATAAATCTGATGAATTTTTTAATTTGAAAAAAAAACAGGTTTAAAGGTTGAATTAGTTTAGTTTATTTTATTTACTGGGATTCATTTCTCTGCATTTTTTTATTCAAATAAGTTTTGGCTAACTCTTTTTATAACTAAGGGCCTATTTTAATACGAGCACATGGTTCAGTATAAGTTTGAAACGCCTTGAAAGAGAGTGATCTGTCTTTTCTTAAAATATCTAGTGTCCAAGTACTGTTATTCAAATATGAGGGAGAAAGCATTAGGGCATCTCCAACCCACCTCTGTTTTAGAGGTAAAAATAGAAATTATACTCCAATTCATTTCTATTTTCACCTCTAAAATAGAAATTGCTATTTTTTCCTCCAAATATAGAGGGATTCTATTTTTTCTCTTTATAATAGAGGTAAACTTTTTTATTTATAAAACAGTCCTTTAACTTTTAAATCTTTTTATTTATGTAAAAAGTATAATTTTTTTTATGAATATAAATGTGATAATTTTGGTTATAGTTTAAAAAAAAATTAAAAACATATGATATTATTAAATATAAAAATTCTCATTGCAAATTAATCTACAAAAAGATAATTACAAATTAAAAATATATAAAAATAAATGAAAAATAACATCAATTTAATTTATGAATTTTTACTTCTAATACTATTATAATATGTTGAAACTTTCATAAAAAAGTAACATAAGTGGGATTAATTTAAAAATTTTAGTAGTCAAAGGTTAGTATTATTATAATTTATGAAAACTTTTATAAAAAGTACAGTAAAAGATTAATTCACAAATTTTATTTATCAAAGTTAGTATTATTATAATTTCTGTAAATTTTTGTAAAAAAAAATAAGTGGGGTTCATTCATAAATTTTATCAATAAAAGGTGTTAAGAACAATTAAAAAGAAGAATATACTGAGAATATTCCTTTTTAGAGGGAAAAATAGAGGTAACCATTGAAGACAAATATACCTCTATTTTAGAGTTCCTCTATTTTAGAGGCAAAAATAGAGGCAACCATTGGAGATGGTCTTAGCAAAATCTGTTATTAGATATCTGTTATTAGATCATTTAGTTTTCTTTTGTACACAATAGGTTTGGATTAAATTAGTATAAAAATCTGTTATTAGATCTCTGATTAGATTGATATTATGGCGCTTCTCTCTGACTCAGAATAAAATTCGACTCCCTTTTTTTTTCTGTCATGTACATATTTCAAGGGACTTTACATTGCATATGGCAGAAGCAAAACAAATGATACCACAGTGAACAACCATGAACCATCTTTTACACATTTCTTTACTCGATTTACTGATAAAAGTATCTGCAATCGTATCTCCTGAATCAAAATGTTGGGAAACAAAAAATTTGAAGATGAGCTATGGTGGTGGTTTGCTACTAGATGACTCTTTAACATCTAAATCAAGATACAAGTATTAAGTTTTATTGGCTAGATTTCATTAAAAATTGAAACTCTAAAACTATAGAGACATTTATTGTTTTTTCCTCGAAAACACCATATTATTAAGATTGCGGATCAAGACTCTCCTCTAGGGGGAGCCAGACAGGAACCGTAGAGCTTACATGGGAAAACCTAATACCACGTGCTCTTGTGGCTTTAGCAAGTCTATCAGCATGGATGTTAAAAAGACGAGGTACATAACAAAGTCTAAAGGACCTAAAGGAAGAGACCAGATATTTGAAATCCTCTAACTCCGACGCAAAAGACGGACACTCCGACGGACGGTCAATCATAGTAATCAGGTCAGTGCAGTCTGTCGCAAAGATATCGCAAGAGAGTTGTGCCATCAGAACACTTTGCATAGCCGAAAGCAAAGAGACCATTTCCGCATGAAGAGGGGAAATACAACGATCTGAGCCCCGAAGTCCTAGCAGGATCGAACGGTTTCCTTGAGAAATTACCCACCCGTGGCCACTAAAATGATCAGCGCTATGCCAAGATCCATCAATATGACACACCGTGTCTGACTGGAGGAAGAGGCTGGGTTCCAAAGATGGAGCAACATCGGGGCTGGGATCCCGCAAGTTCGCCTGTCTCCACACTTCTTCCTCTTGGGTAGCATGAGCGAGGATGTCAGGAGGCAGCTCGTCTACATTCTCGAAGACTTTTTTGTTTCGTTTTCCATAAGAATCACATGATCCATGGAAAAACTCTTAAGCTCTCATCACTCGAGCCAGTCTCCTTGGCTCTCCAATACAGATAATCGAGATTTCCATACAAAGAATGTAGGGGGAAGACACTTGGGGCCGAGGGAATCGAGGATAAGGCCCAAACTTGTTTCGAAGGTGGGCATTCAAAGATCATGTGATTTATCGTTTTTTCCTCCGCACCACATCTTGGACAACTCTTTTCTCGACCAATATGACGAGAATGGAGTCTCTGGCATGTGGATAAACACCCTGAAGCACATTGCCACACAAAATGTTTTATTTTCCGTGTGGTTTTGAGTTTCCAAGCTTGTGCCATTAGTACCTCCGTACATGGTCCCTGAAGAGGGGGGTCACAAGCAAGACGAGATAAGGTTCTCGTGGCCTGGTATCCTGATCTCACGGAGTAATTTCCGAATTTAGTAAATGTCCAACAATAACTATCTCTCGAGACTCGCAAGCTCGGATGTATACTTGTGATAAGGAAGATCTCCTCTGGGGGAAATAACTCCACAAGTCTATCCATCTTCCACCTCTTAGACTCAAAGTCAATGAGGGAATTAACATAAAGTAGTGGATCGTTCACCGGATTCAGCCCCTTTGGAGGGCGAGCCGGTGCATTAGGGATCCAGGGTTCCGACCACACACATGTCTCAAATCCCGAACTAATGGTTTTACGGATACCCGAAGCCAAAAGAGATTTAGCAGCCATAATACTTCTCCACCCGTATGAGGGGCGATTGGAGACATTGATTTCTAAAGGGCTACAATATTTGAAGTACCTTCCTTTGAGAACACAACAAAGGAGAGATTCCGGTGAGCGGAGAAGACACCAAAGTTGCTTAGCCAATAGGGCAATATTAAACTCTTCAATGGTTCTGAATCCGAGCCCTCCTTCAGATAATTGGGTACAGAGCTTAGGCCATGCCATCCAATGCAGCCCTCTGCTCTCGGGATTGGAACTCCACCAAAAGTTGGCAATAACACTGGTAAGTTTCGAACAAAGAGCCTTAGGGAGGAGGAAACACGACATAACATACGTCGGAATAGCTTGAGCCTGTGATTTAATCAGTACCTCCTTCCCTCCTTTGGATAAAAGCTTAAACGACCAAGAGTTAACCCTGCTATGTAGTCTGTCTCGAACAAAGGCGAAGACTTGCGCCTTTGAGCAGTTTTTATGGGAGACCAAGATAAGTGCCCATCCCGCCTTCCTGGTGTATACCAAAAGTGGCTTTGATTGCCTGCCTTGTCTGGGACGGTACCTCATTCCCAAACATAATAGATGATTTTGAGAAATTGATTTGTTGTCCCGATGCCTCGCCATATAGACGGATAATGTCGATAACCTCCTTACTTTGCTCTTGATCTGCCTTGCAGAAGAAAAGACTATCGTCAGCAAAGAGAAGGTGGGACGTAGTAGGGCTGGCTCTGGCAACACGGAGTCCTTGAATCTTCCCTGAATCTTCAGCCGCTTTAAGATGGGAAATAAGAGCCTCAGTACAGAGGATAAAGAGGTACGGAGAAATCGGGTCGCCTTGGCGGATTTCTCTGGATGGCGTAATATGCCCTTTAAGAGTTCCGTTGATTAAGACTCTGTACGAGACCGTAGATATACACTGCATAACCCATCCCACCCATCTAGCATCGAACCCCATCTTCTCCATCAATGCTTTCAAGAAATTCCATTCCACTATATCGTATGCTTTGCTCATATCCATCTTGATAGCCATAAACTTCTTACGACAAGCTGGATTGGATCGTAAGGCGTGAAAGTTTTCTTGTGCTATAAGGATGTTATCCGTAATCAACCTTCCAGCAACAAAAGCCGACTGTGTCTCGGATATAAGATCCGGAAGAAATATTTTAAGCCGTAAACTCATAATTTTGGAGATGATCTTGTAGCTGAGATTACATAGACTGATGGATCTAAAACCGGTCATCTCACGAGGTTGTGCTCCTTTAGAGATAAGGAAAATATTGGTCTCATTGAGTCTACGGTCGAAAGTTCTGGAGATAAAAAATTCTTTGATCATCTGAATGAGATCAGAGTTAATAACTCCCCAAAATTTTTGGAAAAATAAGGCTGTCATGCCGTCAAGACCAGGAGCCTTGCCAGGATTTAAGGAGAACAGCGCTCGTCGCACATCCTCCTCGGAAATCTCTCGAGTTAGACTCTCATTCATCTCCCTTCTCACAACGTTTGACACGTATTGGAGAACAAGAAAAGGGTCACTCTCGGTCGAGGATGTGAAAAGAGAAGCAAAATAATCCACCGCAATCTTCTCGATGCCTGCTTCATCGTTAACCCACGCACCCGAATGGTGGAGAAGGCCTAATATATTGTTCCGAGCTCGCCGTTGTTTGGTAGTAGCATGAAAAAACTTTGTATTCTTGTCTCCCTCCTTAAGCCATATAGCCCTACTTTTTTGGCGCCAGTAAGCTTCCTCTTGACGATACGCTTCGCATAAGCGCCATTTGAGGTTTAGGAGGTCTTCGGGAGTGACACTCTCATCTTCTTGCGCTTTGTCAATCTCGTATTGGAGTTGGAGAATTAGTTTTTCAGAGTTGGTGACTATACTCTTCTTCCAAATAGAAATGGCTCGACGACATTTGTGTATTCGACAAGAAAAGGGACCAAGACGACGATCCAGAGGGGTACCCCATCCTTCTTTGATTGTCTCTTCAAGACCTGGCTTGCCAATCCACCGTTTATCAAACATAAATTGATTACTCGGTTTCGGAGGTGTGTTGCTAATGGAGGCTACTAGCGGTCTGTGATCTGAGCCCCATAGCTTCAAATACTCCACATTAGTGTGGGAAAACAGATTGTGCCAATCTTCATTTCCCATTGCTCTATCCAGCCTGCATTTGATCACTCCGTTTGTTCTACGGCCTACCCAAGAAAAGGGGTTGCCTTGGAACGGAAAGTCCTCAAATCCGCAATTCTGGATCATAGCACGGAAAGAAAGAAAAGATGCCTCAGATCTTTTTTTGCCTCCTCGTTTTTCATGGTTCCTTGTTATATCATTAAAATCGCCAATGATAAACTATAGACAGATCGAGAGATTCTAATACGGTTTAATTTCTCCCATACATAATCTCGGTACGAAAGTGAAGTAATATAAATAAATCATTTCAACTAATATTCGTTATCTATATCACCATTCTCTTCGGTTTCTTCCGGAGGTATAGTGAAATTTTCATCAATTTTTTTAATAAAAAAAAACTTACATAATTTATTCAATATTATATATAACTTAAAAAAACAAGAATGTTAATCAGTATGTCAAAAAACAATTCGATCATATAAAGATTTTTTATAATCAAACTTTTTAAATTTGTTCAAAATTTATTTTAAACCATCACCTACTGGTTTAACCACTAACCGGATCACAGGTATATCGGATTTTGCCTGTTTTTAACAGATTTTTATGTAGCAGATATTAGCATTAAACTCGAACCGGATTTTCCAACGAGTCACTGGATATACTGATCTGACCGCGGGTTCGGGTCGGATTTAAAAACATTGGTTAAAAGGATATCCAGTTGCAAGCCGAAATGTCATCAGAAATCTATTGTTTTTAAAACGGTAGTTGCAAGCCGAAATGTCATCAGAAATCTATTGTTTTTAAAACGGTTTTCGCTACAGAATCTATTGTTTTTATAGTGTTTCTGCTGTTTGCACATAGATTTTTGTGTATTGTGTTGTGTATAATGTAGAATAGGATTCATTCCAGAAATATTCCGATGTTGTGTTGTTTAAACTGTAGACGCCTATCAGATTGTTATTTTTCTTAAAGCGTTCCAGCTATAAGTTGTCTATTATTTGTGGTCGCCCGAAGTTATGATGAAACTCACCATTTCCCTTAATGCTTCTTTGATTGGTGAATTATTCACACACCAATCTAATTACCCTCTCTATGATGAGGATCGATCGACTCATATTTACTCCAAACTCATACATCTATATCAACCACAAGAATAATGAAGGGATCGGATCATAATAAAACAGCTCTAAGATCGATGGATGATAAAAACACCCAATTTAGTTTTAAGAAGTAATCTGATGATGGTAATGATGAAGAGGCGTGGATAAATAGTAATCGATGGTCTTCTTGACATGGATTATAACATTGATAAAACGTGACCATTTTCTTGTGATTTTCTGTTTTCCTTGTCCATAAAAACATTAATTGTAGACAATTAAATTAAACGACTTATGTTGCATGTACACCAAGATTTTATTTTCACACGTCTTACAATTTGTCTGCATGCAAGTTAACTTTCTTTGTTGCTTTCTTCGATTTTTTTTGGTAAAAAAAAACCGTATTTAAAGCAAAGATAAGAATTGAAATAAAACAGCATAATTAATGCTTTCTACGATCGTCTACATTTAATTCCATTTAACTGTTTCTCGTTTCTTACCTCTTCAAAATTCTATCATTACCATGCATGACCTCCTATATAAAGCCATTGCTCTAAGCCAGAGTGGGGAAAAACAACAATATATCTGTTCATGCTCCTACAAATAAATAAATAGACAAACATATATACCATTGAAATTTGACAAAATGGCACCAGCTCAAAACCCAATCATTTCTAGACACGTTGCAGTGATAGGAGCCGGAGCTGCCGGTCTCGTAACGGCCAGAGAGCTCCGTCGTGAAGGTCACACCGTCGTGGTGTTTGACCGGGAAAAACACGTGGGAGGTCTCTGGATTTATTCACCAAAAGCAGAATCCGACCCGCTTGGTCTCGACCCAACCCGACCCATAGTCCACTCGAGCGTCTATGAGTCTCTACGAACCAACCTTCCGAGAGAATGTATGGGTTTCAGGGATTTTCCGTTCGTGCCACGTGGAGATGACGTGTCAAGAGACCCGAGAAGGTATCCGAGCCACAAGGAAGTCCTTGCGTACCTTCGAGACTTTGCTAGAGAGTTTAACATAGAGGAGATGATCCGGTTCGAGACCGAGGTGGTTCGAGTCGAGCCGGTTAACGAGAAATGGAGGGTCCGTTCCAAGAACTCTGGCGGTTTCTCCGATGATGAGATCTTTGACAACGTCGTCGTTTGCAGTGGTCACTACACGGAGCCCAACGTTGCTCGTGTTCCTGGTAAGATATAAAAGCTTTTGTAGTTTTTTAAAGTGCTTTGACTATAAACGTTTTCTGCTAATCATTTTTTTGATTAACTATCTATTAATTAGTACTCCTATGAGTTTTCATGACTTAAATACAAAATTGAGGTGAAATAATTGCAACAAAACTCAAGTGAAATTAGTTTAGTATGGTTAACTTGGAAAAATTCACAAATATTTCCCTATTTAGCAATTCATGAATATAAGGGGTTTCATCAAAATAACTGTTTTAATTTTTTGCTGCTACATAAATATAAGAACAAAACATTTTACTTGGCTAAATTCACGCATCACCGTGTTTGCATTTCACACAATACTTAAAGCAAAAAACATTAACAAATTAACAAAATTGTTTACTCTGTTAACGACAATGTAATTGAACATTTATCTAAGAATTAGTAAAGAATACACAATGCAACATTGTTTATATATACGATGATTTTAAAGTTTTCAATGTTCGTTATGCCAAAGTGTAAATTGATAATTCTGACTATTAAACTATATTAACTGTTCGTATATTTTTCTAGAAATTCAAAAAGTGTGCGTATATATATTTACAGAAATAGTTGAATAGTTGAAAATTTGTTTAGAGGAGTAACAGAGTTTATACTTTTAGATAAATACTACTCCTATAAAAAGGGATCCTTATCGCTAGATACATTTTTTCTCATTTTTTTTTTTTTTGCCTTTGATGGATTTTATATTACAATTTCTGAATGTATCGGTATATACATTTTCTTCTCCATAATTTTTTCGACTAGGACGGATTTTATGTTACAATTGCTGTCATGCATTCCTTACTGCATATTTTAGTGATCACTTTGTGCTCTGTCTGAAATTTGTTTCTATCCAAAAAGGCTTACAGTATAAAAATATGCATATTTAGGGGTAAAATCGTGGCCAGGGAAGCAGATCCATAGCCACAACTACAGAGTTCCTGGTCCATTCAAAAATGAGGTACTCTCTAAGTATATGGTCGCTTTAACCTTTTCTATTTCTTTTCTCAGTTTTTATTTAAATTATGTATTTATTTTGAATCCATGTGACACGAGCTTTTGATTATCATCGTACCAAACGTATTATTGTTGCCCTACTATACGGTCCCAACTCTGGACTGTTTCCCTTTTTTTAATTGTTTTATTGAAAAGTATTACAAAAAAATATTTAGTTAATAGGAATAAATAAATAAAATATGGATGCTTAGGCGGAGCTGGAAACGTGTATCAAGGATAAATTGGCAAGGATGACATGTATGGGCCTAACTTTCTTGCTACATTATCCGATCTTTTAGTTTTGTGTTGTTCAAGTCATATTATAATCCATTCCCTCTAAGGACAGTACTTTTTTATAGTTTTTTTTTCTTTCTTTTTATCACTTGGCTTTTTTTGCATTAAAACAAATATTATAGAATTGATTGGTAATTTTTACTGCAGGAGTATGCAAATTTAAGGGGTATGCCAATTTAATAGTTACTAATTATAAAAGCATTAATAATTAGGAGTATTGAAAGTGATACTTTTATCTTTTGTTTTGTTTTGTTTGTTTGTTTTTTTTTAATCTTACTGCTACTTTATAATCCGTTATAACTACAGTAAAACCTCTATAAATTAATAATATCGGAATCATGATATTTTATTAATTTATCGTAATATTAATTTATAGAGAAATTTTGCTTTCCACCTATAATTTTCTAAAAACTTTGGAATAATGTTATATTTTAAAATTTTAACAAATCTTATAATGTAAATTATGATTAGCAATCATAATATTACAATAAAATAGTTTTTAATACCATATTTGATTATCCATATAAAAATATACATGTTCATAAGTTTAAAATTTATAAAAAAGCCCATGGCTACTATCCATATTATAATAAAATTGAAGATAACACTACAATACATTTAAAAACATTTACAGGTAACACTACAATATATTTAAAATTTACAGTTATATAACACTACAATACATTTAAAATTTATAAAAATTTTATGGCTACTATCCGTATGATTGATGATAAAATTGAGGATAACACTACAATACATTTAAAAACATTTACAGGTAAGGAAATCAATTATCACATCAAAAAATCATCATAAATTTTGAATGTATATCGTAAAACATCAATAAAAGCTACTGATATAATAATTAGAGAGATAAGATCCATTGAGATTTCAACCTTAAGTAAAAGCAAACACATTAGTCAAATTTTAAAATATTATATGTACATATATTTGCACAAATATATATAATTATTAATTTATGTTTTTGTTGGGACCATATATTTACATAGAGATTTCAAAAAAAATTATTATCTTATTATCTTATCGAATTTGATAGATTTTTACATTGACCCGACTTGAGACCAGTAAAATTTATTAATTTATAGTGATTATTAATTTATCGAGTATTAATTTATAGAGGTTCTACTGTATACTAATAGTGTTTACTGTTTTTTTTTCTGTTACAAAGATTATCACCGCTTTGTGTTACATTCTCTAATTATTCTATATCTTTTACTGCTCGTTCTTCCAGTAATTTATTTTTACCACTTTGTATTACTAGTGGTACCTTATACTATATGCAACATATATGTCAATATGCATACATCCATATGATTAGTAATATAGATACAACCAAACAAAAATAACTAAACTACACGACGGAAAGATTTGCTCACTACCATATTATCACATCAGATACTGATTTTTTTCTTTCGTTAAACAAATTCAAAGTTCGTACTGATATGATACTTGATGAAAATTCTAAGACTCTAGTCGTAGAACAAAATGCATTAATCAACTAGATCTTCCTTTTCTTCTTATTTGTTTTTGTTTATTTTTTACTAGACCTTTACATGCTAGAAATTCTTTTTTAGATCCGACGGTCCATCAAATCCTCAGATCAAAAATTTAGATTTAAAAGAATCATGATCATGGAAGTTTTTCTGGTTTAAACCATATTAATTTTTTAAACCAAGAATTTTTCTGGAAACCATTGATAGTTTTCTGAAAACCATCCTTATGAATCCTCACACTAAACATTCTCTAATATTTAGTGACGTATCGATTGGTCATTTATTCGTACCCAAACGAATTTCAGAATGTGTGAGAGTATTCAAATCAAAACCCACTTTATCTCCCAACGATTGTCTAATGTCCAGAAACTAAGTTGGAGGAGAAAGACTAATAGCTGTGAAAAATCTTCCACACCTAACCTATCGCGCAACAAAAAGCAACAGAGGAAAAAGAGTCCAAACGACCACGAAAAATAAATGTTTTTCTTTTGTTCGGACAATAAGAAAACCATTTTGTTAAAATACAAATACCTGCGAGTTTTTGTTTTAAAAGGAAATCATATCAAATCTGTAGTTTAATAAAAGACTATTGCCTCCTATATACATTTTTTACATGACGATTCTTAAACAGAACCGTGAAATAGGTAATCAAAATTATAATGACTATATTCATAATGTAAACAAATATCTGCAAAATCGTCCGCCAAAAAAAGTGTTTGTAGAATGTTTGGGCTAACTCTACCTTGTAGGATTCTTTATGATCTGCATTATCGTGTTGATATTTTGGCAGGTGGTGGTGGTGATTGGAAATTTTGCAAGCGGTGCCGATATTAGTAGAGACATAGCTAAGGTCGCAAAAGAAGTCCACATCGCATCTAGATCGAGTGATCCTGCTATGTATGAGAAGCTTTCTGTGCCCACCAACAATCTATGGACTCATTCTGAGGTAACTGACAACACTGATTTTTAATTATTAAGGTTTATAGAATTTTCATCTGACTATAGAATGCTTCTTTGATGTATATATCTTTGTAGATAGAGACTGCCTGTGAGGATGGATCAATTGTTTTTAAAAATGGGAAGGTAGTATATGCTGATACCATTGTGTATTGTACCGGGTATGTTCATTGTTTCCGATATTTTTGTGCTCGCATACATCAAGATTTTTAGTTGTATTTCTTTCTAACATGTTTTTTGTTTATGTGTAAAGGTACAAGTATTACTTTCCATTTCTTGAAACCAATGGCTATATGAGCATCGATGAAGATAACCGCGTTGAGCCTCTATACAAGCATGTCTTTCCACCCGCGCTTGCGCCCGGGCTTTCCTTTGTTGGTTTACCAGCGATGGTCACTGAGCTTACTTTCTTGAGATTATGAATTCACGTTTAACTTCGTTTTGATCTTTAATTTTTTTTTTTTGATTATTATTTATCAGGGCATACAATTCGTTATGTTTGAAATCCAAAGCAAATGGGTGGCTGCAGTTTTATCTGGACGGGTCACACTTCCCTCACAAGAGAAGATGATGGAAGATCTTATTGCATCGTATGCGACGCTTGAGGCGTTAGGTGTTCCCAAGAGACATACGCATAGATTGGGTAAAATTCAGGTATGCTTGTTACTGAATATGGTTACATATATTATATTCCCTCCGTTTTTTTATTAATTGTCGTTTTAAAGAATTTTGTTTGTTTTAAATTAGTTGTCGTTTTCAGTTTTCAATGCAACATTTATTATGATTTTATTTTTTAGGATTTTTTTTATTATGCAATTTATTTTATTATTGGTTGAATTGTGTTTAAATAAATAATTAATGATGTTTTTATATTGAAAAACTAATACAATTAATATTTTCTTAATCTGTGTGCATAACCTTAAAACGACAACTAAATAAATCCGGAGGAAGTATTAAATATAAGTCAATTGTCTAAAATAGCACATTTAAAAAAAAACTTTGTAGCAAAACCAGGCATTGCTGATTTAAACTTCCAATAATAGCACAAGTTCAATTACAAGCATATTATGATATTATCGACTAAAAAAGAACATCATTCTGGAAAAAGCTTAATCAGTTTTCTCTTGCAGTGCAAGTACCTCAACTGGATCGCAGAAGAGTGTGGTTGCGAGCTAGTTGAACCTTGGCGAGGTCAACAAGTTGACCGTGGTTACGAGAGACTTGTCTCTAACCCAGAGCATTACCGCGATGAATGGGACGACGATGATCTCATAGAAGAAGCTTACGAGGATTTTGCGAGGAAGAAGTTGATTAGTTCTCGTCCTTCTCATTACCTCGAAACAGGAAGATGATCTGCGACATTGGTGCCTACTTGTCTTTTGGGTGTCTACTTGAATTATAAAAATCAACTATATTGATTTTAATAAAGCTTAAGGATTTAAGGGTTGCTTTTTATGCTATGGGTTTTTTTTCTTCTAAGGGTTAACTGGTTAATTACATTTCAGAAAAATTGTAAACTTTGCAGAGGAGAATTTTAGGTGTATAAGGCCTTTTTCTTCTCCTTTTTTTTTCATTTTTTTTTTAAGTTTTTGCTTTTATTTTTGTTTGTTGCGTGTGTATGTAATTTTTGTTTGTTTTTACCTTTACGATTGAATTGTGTAAGTCGATTGTATTAAAAACAAAAATTGGCGTTCAAAATTAAAATTACAAAACCATATTATTTTAAAGTGTGCAAATTTATGTATTAGCATTTCGTTTTTTTTATCATGCTAATTATATGTAAATTCGAAAACGCGGTTTTGGAGGCTCCACAATTCTGATATAATCTGCTAAAATTTATATTAAATCTATAAATTTTAGTGTAAGTAACTAAGTATAAACAACTTGGAAATAAAAAACAAAGAAGAGAAATTATGTGTAACATGTCAATGGCTGGAAAAGAGAGATTCATGGAAGAAGATGCAGAATATAAGGTTAATTTTAATTAAAAAAAATACGGTTTTTTATAGAATATACAGTTATTTTTTATTAAAGAGAAATAATAAAAATTAACAAAAGGTTAACACGTTTCCCTGAACTTACATTTGTAATAATTCGCACCCAGAAAAAAAAAGAACTTCCATTTGCAATCAAGAGTCTATAAACATTGAAGGCAAGTCCAATAAACCTACCAATCACCTCGATCAACTATTTCCATCGGCTAATATATTATATGCTCAAATGAGATTTTTATAGACATTTTCACATATACATTTCGGACATGAAAAGATCATTTTGTAAGTTTTGGATGATCAAACCTCAACGCAGTATTGAACAAGTCCCAAATAATGATAATTATAAAGATCTATAGTAAACATAAAAATCAAACAATCAAATCAAATTAATCGGTCAAGCCCGTTTTTCATAAATGAACTACTCACGCATGCTTAATGATATCGTAAATGGAAGATGGGTAAGGTAAGACACTAAACAAGCCTCAAATAAAATAAATGCAAGATAAGAAAGGAAGATTTCTAAACAATATCAAAAGTTGAAACTATTTTCATAAAAAACTTTAATTTGAAAGGTTCTCAAAAGATCAAGGTTTAAAGGAAGATATCATTAAAAAATTTGGTCTAAAAATATTAAAAGAAATATATAGACAACAGTATAATGTACCAAATCAACCCAACAAAGCTTCTCAAACCCGAAATTAAACAAGTTCAGGGACGAGTATTGACGAGATATATAGACAATCTTGTCGATCGATTAGATCTTCAGAGAAGCTTCTGCTCTAAGCCTCTACTTCAGCTCAATCTCTAGCTTTTGTCTTAACTCATCGATTTGCACGTCTATGTTTTCAAATTAGAAAACTCCTTTGGATTTCTGCTGTTTCGGTGTTTTCCGTCGGCCAATACATCGATAATACAAAATCCCTGAGATACTTCTTGATATGGTATCTTGCAATGGTATATTCCAATTTGTTACACTATCTACAGATTTCATTAGTTAGTAGATATTTTATTATTATACCTCACCAGATTTTAGTAGATCACATTATTACGGTTCATACATGTGGCATAACTATAACAAGGTGGGCGCAAAATGATACAATAAGTTAGTTCTTGTAACTATCAATCTCATTCACGTGCTTTATTTTAATTTATTTTTTGAATTTTTTTATTGAATAACAATTTTCTACTAAAAGAATATTATTTTTTGTCTTTTTATTCCAATACATAAAAAAATTCCTAAAAAGAAGTAAAATAAAAAAAATAAGAAGATATTAAGAATGTTTTTTTTTTTTTGTAAACAAGATATTAAGAAGACTGATTACAAGGATATTACGAATAAAAATGATAGTTCACAAAAAAATTGTTAGTTCCCTACACTCTAGACAGGGCACCACCAAGTTGATGACTTTAAGCTCCATTGCATTCATACCACTCAAATCCATTATCTATTGACAGTCATAAAAATCGAAACAGAAAAATGAAAAACCAGTGTGGGAAATCCCAGCCGAAAAATCGAATCTGATTTGATATCTGTTAACATTATTGGTGGAGTTAATGGGAAACAAGATATTAACTGATTGAAAAAAATAGAAAGTATTAAAAAAAAAATAGTATGTTATACAATATTACAATATTTGACTTTCGATGCTAATATTTTGTTGATAAAACGATTCAACTGATGGGCAGATTATGAAATAATAAGCGAAATTACATGGAGATCAATGGCTCATACCATAAGCTTGATCTTAGTCAAGTTTAGCATTTGACATTCATAGATACATTCTATTGCGATAAACATAATGTGCCTAGAATTTATATTGTTTTTATTAGGATCATAAACCAATTCTACCGTTTACGAAAAATACTGAGAGATCAAAGAGGGAGCGATTTTGGTATTTGAAATCAACTTCTTCGATCTAAAGTCAACATTTTTGTTTTAATGTAGTTTAAAAAGAAAATTAGTTTTTCTCAAAAAAAAAGAAGAAAATTAGTGTATTTGGTCAACGACGAAATTAACTTGCCATAAGGTAGATAAGTCCATACGCAATTCTAATCCTATACATCTATAGGAGAAAGTTTCGTGTACGCAAGTTAAATATTGAGAAGAAAATTATTTACACCGATTATTAAGCTAATTTTTTTGTTTGATTTGGTTCCCGACCGGCACGATCACATACACCGGCTTACGTACTTTAAGGATATAGAACAGTAGAAGTAACGGTGGCACATTTATGCCCGTGTGTTGTGAGTTGTCGGTATATTTGTGAATTTTAAGCCATCTTTTTAATGTAGCGTGTTGTTTAACCTTTGACATTTGAGTTGATTTTTTTTTTTGGGGTTTTTGTCGGGAGGGGGAATTTAAAATTTATTTGAAGATATACTGACGAATTTAAATCAAACTGATTTGCGTTTATTAAAATCATTTTTTGCATATCCACTTTCCAAGGACGACCTCCACACCGGCCTAAATTAAAAGACTAATTTTGATAATCATTTAAGCGCAAAATGTCTCTGATAATATTGCCATTTGTGGAAAGTTACAAATATTTGTTAACCAGGTCGTTGATTTTATGCCATCTCTGTTTGCACTGCCCTGTTTCACGTGTTTCACTTCCTGCCGGCTTACTGGCTGCGTAGTACAACGCAATACGCTTCCAAAAAGGTCCAGATTTCTGCTCGGTTGAGACCACTGGGTCCTTACTTGTGTTAAACCACGAACTAATCAGTAAAATATCTTCGCCGGGAGACCAAGTCTTTCTCTTACCGTCACCGAGCTCTGCAGTCGTACCTCCACTATGGCTGGATCCTTGCATACATTGAGTACTGAAGATAGGGAGTTGAGACTCGGGAAAAAAAATTCATTGAGGGAAGATTCTTGTTGACTGTTTAAAAGGTCAACAAAATTTGTGGTATGCGAGAATGGATATATGGAAGACATTACAAGAACAGTTGGAAAAGTTGAAAAAGGGATAAAAAAGAGAAAGAGTAAAAAGGGAATGAAGAAAACTTGGAAAAGTTTAGGAGGAAAGAGAGAAAGTTAAAACGTGAAGGGTTTAGGAGGAAAGAAGGAAGTTCATTGCATTAAAACATTGCAAGAACTTCATCGATGGTTTCTACTTAAAGAAGATCATCAAAACAGATGAAAAAAAAACTAACCCAACATTCATTGCATCTCTAACCACAGTGAGTTGACATAAACCTAACTAAAGCATTCATTCCTTGTCTAACCACTTCATTAATACCAGTATCTACCATCTAAACCATTCCTATAATATACATTTATTACTTACTAATATGATAACAACATACCAGGAAAAAAGAAGCATGTCATCCGTTTGGTTCATAACCGGCAAGGTAACCAGATGTCAGTTCAAAGCACTGCTAATAAACATCAATATTTCAAATGATAAATGCAACTGAAAAAAGCACCACTAATAAACATTATTACCTCGGTGAACCTATGTCCAACCGTGGCATTTTCATAGGCTGAAACTATGTCCACAAGAACTCGGTGGACAAATATATCATTATTTGGTATCTACCAAGGTCGCTTTCCTAATGAATTCGTCATTATCCAACATCGCCTGAAATCAAGCAATTGGTCTTAGAAGACCAAATCTAAGCAACGAATGTTGCAGAGACAAAGGAGCACGAACACTAAAATCTCAACATCAAAACTTTTTTTATTTGTCACCTATTTTGACTAGATGGTTGGTTTTGGTATAAAGCATATTGTTCTTGATGATTGATACATGTATGTATCTATGATGGTCGATCTACAAGAATGTTAAGGAGAGAATCATAAACCCCTTGCTCTTGCAAGAAAAGAATCATTACCGTATTTGTTAACTTTGGTTGAGACTTGGAAACTGATTAAGATGATGATGATCCACTCGGATTTTGCTCTTGAGATCCACCACTTGCTTTTCCAGTTCTTCATCTTTTTTTCTTACCTCCTGTAATAATGCAAATAGTTTAACAAATCCCAAACCATTCAATAACCAAACCTCAACATTCAATAACCTTAAATCCATCAAAAATTTTCAACAATGATCCCTCTATCCATAAACCAATTCACAAGATACAATTGAACCAAAAAGAATCGATAAAACGACCCAAACATACCGCAAAACCTGATCATCTCTAAATCCTATAAATCGACGAAGAGAACCAGAACAATCCAGAGGAAGACATCGAGATAGAGGGAATTAGGGTTTGCAATTGATTACCTGATTCGATGACGAGATCACCATGCGGAATCGACTTGTATTAGTCGGAGAGACGTCGGAGAAAGATGGAATTTTCTCCCCTTTGACGGAGAAACCAAAGCATGCGAAGAAGAAAATGAAAAATTGGTCGGGAAAAATTTTAAGCGTGATTTTTGTTCCCAAATTTTTAAACCAATATAGATCTGCCACGTGTTCGAAAGAAACGTTTCCACCGGTACCCATTAAAGAAACGTTTCCACCAAACTATTTCTTCTACTCGTATTTTTTAATCAAAAAAATTGCTAGAGACTTTACTAAAAACGCGCGTTGTAGATGCTCTTAGCGTGCCGAACATATTAACGAAAAAACGAAAAACGGACAGCTTCACAAAGTTGTGACCCGGTATACAAACTCTGTTTAGCTAAATCATAGAAAAACCTCATTAAAAAACGTAACATAAACACCTATACTCTAATAAAGTGCTAAGTTAATTACCTTTTTAGTTTGAAAATTTTAAACGACCATTTTTTCTTTACTTTAAAGACTTATTCTATTTATTTATTTAAGCATGAATATTTTAATAGTCTCATGATGATATGGAACATTACCTAGATCTTTAAACTAATTATATTATGTTTCGTATTAGATATATTATCTAATTGTTTGGAGAGACGATCCTAGACATCATCTAACTCCCACAAATTACAAATACAAGTAAAAATGGTTCCTTTTATAGCTTGTGTTCGATCCTATCCTTCCTCTCTTTTTTTTTTTCTATATATTCTATATATATATTTTTTTTTGTCTCTTCCACATGTAACTTTTTGTCACAATCTTTTGTCCATGTCCACAATCCTACTTATGTTTAGAAAAGATAAATTTACTATAATTGTTTAATTAAAATCATTCTTTTAGATGTCGTTACCTTTACAAGAAGTCCGTATCCTTAATCTTGTTTTTTGTATACTTCTTTCGAAAAAAAAATAATTATATAAATTTTACTTTTGTTTAATTAAATAGTAATTTAAAAAAATCGTAAGTCTTAGCGTCTTTTAGATTGTTTAAAACCAAAAAGTCACATTATTAAAATTCCCATAGGGCTTCATAAAAAAATTCATGTCCTCGTTTCTTCAAGATACACCTGACTCCTAAGTATGCATGCATATATCTTGCAAGTCTTCAATTTTTTAACAATTACGGAAGAAAGAAATGAAACGTATCTTTAATTCTGCCTAAGTCATTGCTCCATTCAATGTCGTCGGCCGAGGCGGCGAGGTGGCCGCAGCAGATGCGTAGATCACTAATTTTGTATATACTATTAGGAGTTTTATGGTGAAATAAATGTTAACGTAGTATCAAATAAAAAAATATTAGTATAACGAACAATAATTGCTCTTTTGTTTGGTCTATAACCAACAAGACTTTAAAATAATCCACGTAGATGTCTAAAATCAAGTGACTTACTTGACCTTCTTAATTGTTTTCTTAATTGTTACTGGTGACTCAATTGATTTTACTTGGATTAATTAAGCAGATACAATATATAGTTTAGAATATATATTTTTTTGTTAAAGAATTTTCTTGAATTAGAATATTCAATTGATTATACTAGTGTTATCGTTGTATAATTCTGTTTTGGATTTCTAAACAGTTTTTTTAAGTACAGATTTTGACATTCTCATAAAGTAACTGATGTTATATTTTCTCTTTTTCATCGATGTACAAGTTAATATAATTAACTTAATTAATTCATATATAAATGAATAAGAAGACTTCAGTTTACAACAGTCATAAGCACTGTATTATATTTATCGGATATTTCGAAAGGGACGAGCACTTATACAATATACGTACACATGTAAAAACTGTTTGCCGCGCCTTCAACATATCTAAATAAATTAGGAACTTTCAGATTGAAAAGAGTCAATTAATAACCAGCTATCAACGATTTTGAATATGACAAAATATTAGTAAGGATGATGGTGATCATCTTGATAAAAAGTGCACTTTTCATCTAATTATTTGTGTGTAAAATTTCCGTGTAACATGTTATATTTTAAGACATTACGTGAAATTATTATTTTCCGCTCACAAATGTTTTTATTATTTTATCATGTTATATTTTTATGTTAAATTTCACGTAATATTTGATTGTTCATTCAATTTTTTTTATTTGATCATAAGTAGGTTTGTGAAAAACTGTTAACCGATAATTTGATCATAATCCCTAAAGTCAAAGTTGCGTATCTTTCGAACAAAACACTATGTATTTATATCCAAACACGTGGACGGCAACAAGTATAGAGAATCAAATCAAATTAAAGTGAGGCTTCACAAACTTTTCTATAACTTTTTATAGGGAATTAGCTTGTATAACCATAAAAAGACAAATTAACACAATAACTATATTAAAGCTATTGGTAACAATTGATCAAATTTTTGTTGTCTACTATACTATTTTCTTCGCTTAAATAGTACATAGTACATGAACATTTGCGTTTGTTTTTCTTTTTTTTTTGTTGTTAAAAATCTAACTCCTATATATCATTTGTTTTTTCTCCTATTTTTTTGGCTACTTAATTCACCTTTTTTTAATCTAATGTTTTCTTTAACGGCACACTCTCTTCAGCCAAGATATGTTGAATTATATATTTTCTTCGTCGCTAATGTTTTTTTTTTTTTTTGAAAGAGCTTCGTCGCTAATGTTCTTAATACATGTTCTTAATGTTCTTATTTGTAACCAGTTTTGCTGATGCAACCAACAACGTAGACAAGTAGTAGGCTAATGGCTAATAGTTTGATACACTGTTGGAACTTGGAAGGAAGTTTAAAATTTCTTTGTTCAAGTCAAGACCATCAAACGAGTCTGTTCAAGATCTTCCATATTTAAAAAGGAAAAGAAAAGAAAAGTTACAAATCAAAGTAACACAAAACATTAGGCATTCATTTCTGTAATCGCATTAGGCTTAGTGTGTGTTTATGGATGAATATCTACTATTTTTTCATAGTATACACTAAAAACATCTACGATTGATACAATATTAAATGGCTAGAAAGAAAGTCTTAATCCAAGTATATGCTAAAGTTATTTTTACCAATCAAACTGTAGACTGTATGTACAGAGGTTATTTAGGACATCTTATATATTTGATATCCATAGATAATATTACGCATTTAAACGAGGAAACTGCTCTTCTCTGAAGAGAACTCGAACCGGGGAACAAAGACACAGCCTGCTTCAAAAGAATATCTGCTTCTTTACCCACTTCTCGTGTGGGTAATGTGGAAGAGCAGTTTGGGGAACAATACATTACCCACACGAGAAGTTAATGTATTTGATAATGTGGAAAAAAAAAACAGAGGTTAAAAGAGAAACAGTTTATAAGCACAAATAGGCAAAAACAAATGACAAATAGTGGTTCCTTCGTCTTAGATAGGAAATTGACATCAGTCATGATTGGGGGTCGGCTTCAAGAATTTGATTCGGTTTCTTTTTCAAGCTCAAGTCTTTCCATGAATCTGGTTCGGACTTCTTTTTTCTTTGATTCTTTGTAAATTAGCCGCATGGTTCTATGATATGTTTTTTTTCCTGTCCTCTATTCCAATTTATTCCCACATGTTGTATCCTTTTTTTGCTTTTCGATCATAAGATATTAGCTTTTATTGTATGTAATCTTTGCTCAACCAGAGTAATATATTTCATCGATAAATTTTCATTTTTGAATTTCCGGCTTCTTTTTTAAATGGTATTCTTCGTTGCTGGATTTTTATTTCTTTTCATCCCATAAATATTTTAGCTATTAAGAAAGACATTATTTGAATTACTAGTTTTCTTTTTAGTTTGACAAAAAAAAGAATTACTGATTTCTTTTTTAAATGGTATATTTCGCTGCTGAATATTTGTCCTTTTCATAAAAAACGGATATAGGCCATCATGATAATAGGTCATACAAATTGAAAAAATATAACAACGAAAGCTCTTTTTATTTTTTGTCACCTAATTACAAAAGTTTAGTTCTACGAGTTAGGAATATGAAAAAAAATTCAAACGTCTATAAAATAATACATATTTAATTCGGTAGAAATTATTCTATATATATATATATATTTATTTCAAAAGTATTTTAATATACAACGGAATTCAATCATGCACGGCTAGTTACGTTTCAGTTTTCTATATAAACCCCATCGAAACCACAGAGCTCAGACACACAAATCGTTCTTCACATTATTACCAAAAGAAAAAGAAAAATACAAAGAACGAATCAAAATTTTACAATGGCACCAGCTTCAAACCCAATAAAATATCAACACGTGGCAGTGATCGGAGCCGGAGCTTCCGGTTTAGTAGCGGCCAGAGAGCTCCGTCGGGAAGGTCACACAGCCGTCGTGTTTGACCGAGAGAAGCAAGTGGGAGGTCTCTGGATTTACTCACCCAAAGCTGAGTCCGACCCGCTTGGTCTCGACCCGACCCGATCCATAGTCCACTCGAGCGTTTACGAGTCTCTCCGAACCAACCTCCCGAGAGAATGTATGGGTTTCAGGGATTTTCCATTCGTGCCACGTGGAGATGACGTAGCAAGAGACCCGAGAAGGTATCCGAGCCACAAAGAAGTCCTTGCGTACCTTGAGGACTTTGCTAGAGAGTTTAACATAGAGGAGATGATCCGGTTCGAGACCGAGGTGGTTCGGGTTGAACCGGTTAATGGAAAATGGAGAGTCCGGTCTAAAAACTCTGGCGGTTTCTCCGATGATGAGATTTTTGACGCCGTCGTCGTTTGCAGTGGACATTTTACAGAACCAAGCGTTGCTCAAATTAATGGTACGTATCAATTTCTAAATTCTTGGTTTGATGATTTTGTTAAAAAAAAAAAATTTTCCTGGTCTATGTTTCAATAAATTTTGAAGTTAACTTCTTTATCTCACTTTTTAAAAAATAAATGATTGTCAAGTTGAGATCACATCATCAGTGATCAGAAATTTGACTTTAGTAAAAAAGTGAGATAAAATCAAATGTTTGAAATTCATTTTACTTCACGTAAACCAATTGATTTTAAGATAATTCCGATAAACTTTTTACAATAATTGAATAAACTAAACGTGAAATTTGTTTGCTCCCATTCGGATCACCGGTTATTCATATGAAACTACTGGGTTTTTAAGAAAACGGTTTAAGGTTATGAACCCAAAAATCAAATTATCAAAGGATTTTTGGTTTTTAATACATTGATAATTTGTTTAGGGATAGAGTCATGGCCGGGGAAGCAAATCCACAGTCACAATTACAGACGTCCTGATCCATTTAAAGATGAGGTATTATTTTCAACTTTGGTTTTAGATTGTGAATCTTATCGACGTGAACTCGAGTTAATATTTTCTGACATAGCTTTATTTTTGGAACTAAGCTACCGTACAGACCAAGTCTCAATTTTTGAGAAACAAAACGATTATAAAACACGTAACTTTTTTTTTTTTCAACACGCATAATATTTGTTTTAGACTTTCTAGGTGAAAACAATATTAAAATAGCGTATGTAGAGAAACGTGTTGAGAGATGAAACGTACAGAGTCTAAACATCGGCAAGAGCTAGGTGTTAATAATGATAGTGACATTCTTTTCTACATTTTCCTACTCTAGGCTCTTTTTACTCATTCGATATTCCCAAATGTTTCTTTCAGTGAATAAATCCATTTGATTGTCGACCGCAGAAATAAACATGCAGATATTTTGAAAAACTTGAACTTTTCTTTATGGATAAGTGAATAATATTTGTTCAACTAATATAATCATCTTTATAATAGTAAGGGTTATATTACTCCCAAATAGGCGTCAAAAATAAACTCGGCCGAATTGCAGTAAAGATATGTTTAATGAGGCTGATCTACATATTATACGCTAATTTAAAAATCTCATCACTTGAAACTTGAATTGTAACACATTCTTCGCAGTACATATAAAGTTGGTCCAGGAATTAAGTTATATATCTAAATATTTACTTCAAATCATATATAAACTTAATTTGCAGGTGGTGGTGGTGATTGGAAATTTTGCGAGTGGAGCCGATATTAGTAGAGACATATCTAAAGTTGCAAAAGAAGTCCACATCGCATCTAGAGCAGGTGGCCCCGATACATACGAAAAGCTTGCTGGACATAAAAACAATCTCTGGATGCATTCTCAGGTAAAACTAACAATTTGTTTGATAAAGTTATGATAAAATAGATTATAAAAGTTGAGGAAACTTCATTTTTTCCTAAACAGTTTAAATGATAATTTGTATTTAATAATTTGTTCTTTAAATATGTTGTAGATAGACATCGCCCGCGAAGATGGTTCGATTGTTTTCCAAAATGGGAAGGTGGTACATGCCGATACCATTGTGCATTGTACCGGGTATTTAATTTTTATGATTATTGGTTTGTAATTTGATTCGTGGAATCTGTGGCTTACAGTATTTTTGTTTGCTTGTTTTGGTTATGTGTGAAGGTATAAGTATTACTTCCCATTTCTTGAAACCAGTGGTTATATGAGTGTTGATGACAACCGTGTTGAGCCTCTCTACAAGCATATCTTCCCACCTGCGCTCGCTCCCGGACTTTCCTTCATCGGTTTACCAGCAATGGTTAGTTCCAACAAAAAATTCGAGGCTCAAATTATTTTAGATCTTTATTAATCTCTTACTTTGATTTTCAGGGTCTACAATTCTATATGTTTGAGGTCCAAAGCAAATGGGTAGCTGCTGTTTTGTCCGGACGAGTTACACTTCCTTCTATAGACAAAATGATGGAAGATATGATGTTATCATATGAAACACAAGAAGCGTTAGGTATTCCCAAAAGATATACACACAAGTTGGGTAAATCTCAGGTACGGGTACTTATAGTGCATATATGATATTGTATAGATTTTAGATGGAAGTGACAGTAAAATACATAGTTTCAAAAAAATTCTCCTAATTAAAACTTTTTTTTTGCATGCAGTGCGAGTACCTCGATTGGATTGCAGATCAATGTGGATTCCCACATGTTGAACATTGGAGGGATCAAGAAGTAACTCGCGGTTACAAGAGACTTGTGGCTCAACCTGAAACTTTCCGTGACGAATGGGATGATGATGACCTCATGGAAGAAGCATACGAGGATTTTACTAGGCAGAATCTGATTAGTTTCCATTCTTCTCGTTTCCTCGAATCCGGAAGATGATCGATGCGTGATTATAATGGTGTGTACTTGCTTGGATTGTGGAGGCTTTGAATTATAAAATAATGTGGGATTAGTTTTAATAAATTATAAGAGTGTGAGGGTCAGCTAGGCAAAGGCTGCTCATGCTGTTTGTTCTCTAGACTTAGCTTCTTGGTGCCTAAAAACTGTTTTTCAAGGATCAATATGTTAAGAGCAAAAGTATGTAATTAATTTCGAGAAGTGTCAATTAATCCTGGTTCATTTATGCAATTGTTTTGTTGCTTTTGTTCTATTTAAACTAAAGAGTAATCTTAATATGTATGCATGATTTTTGTAACCTTTCACGAATTTATGTGTAATTAAGTGCTAGTTGTTTATCTGTTCCTTTGTTTATTTAAATTGAGAAGAATTAATCTTGTTTTTTTACATTGGCACAATTAGAGTTTTAATGAATAAGTCAGTGGACGTGCTCTTGTTATATATTTAATACGAGGGTAAAATAAAAGAGGAAATAGTTCAGGGACCAGTTTGTTCAATTTCTTGCCTTATGTTTTTAGATTCTTTGTCGTCGGCCAAGGCGGCGAGGTGGCGCAAGCAGATGAACGTGGTGAAATGAACGTTAACATCACAACAAATATAAAACAGTATGTTTTCGAACAATAATTGTTGGACTAATCCACGTATTATGCCTAACATAATAATTTAAAACATTAATTAGGCAAATATTTAAGTTGTAAGTATTTTTAATTGTATTTATAAAATAATTATTGTTGTATATATTAATCATAATAACTTCATGCATGATTGCTATGATTTATCTTTCTTATAATTTTTCTTCTATATGTTCTGCAAATCCGATTTGCATTTCCATATTACTCATTTAGTATATAAGTATCTTTTTGAGTTAATTGGTTGAAAAACCATGATGTTGGCTGATATTAGCTCGGTACCCTGTACCCATCTGAGGAAGGAAACCAACGATCACTGTTTGGGAGGGTGGGAGAAATTACAAAAAAAACCTTAGATAGAGGGAAAATTAAATAAAGATAAAATCAATAATAGGGTGGTAATGATTTATTTAGGAAAGCTTAGGGTATGTAAGTGAGATATAATATCTGCAGAAACTCATCTGGTCCACAATTTTTTCCTGCCTGCAGTAACATTTAATGCAATATATTTCGAACCCAGAAGATCAAAAACCTAAGATTCAGTTCCTACTCCTTATGAAAAAAATTCAAAAAAGATCTTTATGAATATTAAAGCTCCAACGTAATTTTATGGTGGTGTTTGTGTTTGAAGTATTGAAGGTGAAAGGAAGCAAACCCAATAAAGTTTCAGTGAATCCCACTAAAGGTTTATCGGAGATACATATAACATTAGCTAAGCTTGTAAATATTTTTCTTAGAAACATAAACTGAATACAACTAATTATTGTTTTTTTGGAGATACATTGACGGTTTGTCATTTAACATTTTTGTTGGATAGGTTAATCTTTGTATTGAAAGACTAATCTGAGATTTTATCGAAGATATGTATAAAGTTACATGTCTAACTTTGCACATTATCTAATAATGACATCAGAATACATCTATTGTATTAGGCGTGACATGAGATTGAAAGAAATGAGATGTGACAAATAAAATGTAATCAGTTTGTATGTAAAGTTGCTACAATGCAATAGTATTTCTCTTTCTTCATGTTTGATGCACTTGCAGCCGTCCAGTCCAGAGATAGTATGTGACATAGTAAAATGCACTACCATAATGCCAGATTCCACACAGATTACATTATAGGGATTATATCTGCATATAGCATACCAAAATGTTATAAACAATAAAATACATTCTTCAGCTGAAATTACCTAGAATAACCTATTTTATTCTTGAAATAGCTAGAATAACTTATGATATATTTTATTATCCACATAACTTACTAATCAGTTTAATATAATTATAATTCCTAAATTACCCTTATCATTTAATTTTAGTTTTATTAATTTAATTTTAAATTCGTTTAAAATACTTACTTAAATCCAGTAATTATGTTTTTCAAAAAAGGAAATATCTCTAATTTAAACCCTAAATAATTATAATCTTTAACACGGCACAATTTCTAGCCGACATCTCTCTGTTCCTTCTCTGCAGCTGTTCTTTGGAGAAAACTCACCGGCCTTGTCAACATTACTAAGCCAGGCAAATCATTGGCAAATTTGTATTAACTCTATCTGGGCAGAAATAAAACAGAAGGTTTCACTAAGGTATCTCTCTCTCTCTTCATCGTTTGTTGCAACAAATCTCATCTCTGAATTAAAATTTAATATTTTGTGATTCATGTTTTTGCAGAATGTCGATTCAAACAAATGTGGATTTAGGATTTCCATTACGGTTATATTCACGTGATTCTGAGCCAAAACCTAAAAAAGCATCAATTACTATAGTAAAATCGAGTTTTTGGAAGAAGTAGAAAATGCTGTTGGAGAAGAAGTGTGGACCTACATCCGTGATTCTTCGCTGGGTGTAATTACACAGTTTGTAGGAAATAAGTTCACTTGGTCATCTAAGATCGTAGAGCATCTTCTTGTGAATCAACTTGCATGCAAAAAAAAGCATGAGATGTGGTGCTTGTTTGGAAACACACCGGCTCGGTTCTCTTTATCAGAGTTTGAAGACATAACGACTTTGAACTGTGCATCTTTTCCTGAGAGTGAAAATGATGTGGAATCCAAGGCACATAAAAAGTTGTGGAAAAAGTTGAAAGTACGCAGGAAGAGCCCTTGCAAGAAAGAGTTGAAAGCTGCTTTGGAAGACGTTTCTTCTTGGTCAAGAGAAGACAAAATTCGGTTTACGTATCTGTCTATTTTAGCAACTTTCATCATAGGTCAGGATGATAAAAAGGAGCTTCCGTTTGAATATGCTCGTATGGTTTTTGACTTGCCAAAATTTGAGAAATATCCTTGGGGGAGAGAGGCTTTCAAGTGGCTGATTGAATCAGTAAAGCGTGTAGATTTGGAAGCTAATTCATACACATTAGATGGATTTGTACAAACGCTTCAAATATGGGCTTACAATGTCGTTCCCAGTCTCGGAGCAAAGATTGGTCGTCCGTCAAACGTTGATGGTCCTCCTATTCTGAAATTTAAAGGTTTAAAAGGATTAAACAAGATCGATATCCATGTCGTCTCAGTTGCTGATGAGGTACGAGAATAGTTACTTGTGCATTGGTGCTGATTAAAATTATTTGAGAAATATTAATTCTAATTTTTTTGAACTTGTAGAAAAACATCAAGAGTATTGTTATCAACCATTTGACGCCCGTTGTTTGGGCTGATAGAGTTGTCGATGATAAAATTGACGCTCTGTTGAAAGCCATATGTAAAGATGGTGGTTTAGGACTTGTGAATTGGGTGGAGCATGGGTCAAACAACATCCAAAAGGAAAAGAACATAACAGTAGACGTAGGTGGAGAGTATGAAGAGGGAAAAGAAGAGAGCGATGGTAAACGAAAACACAGATTAGAAGTGATGACAACAGGCAAGAAGAAAATGAAAGCACCATACTCAACCACTTCGTGTGATCATGCTGAAGCACTACACTTGAGAATGGAACTTGAGCTACAAGCAAAAAAATTAGAGACAGTGGAGGCTCAGTTAGAATATATGGGAAAACAACTCAAGAGTTTTGAAGCAATGCACTCAAAGATTGAATTTTTGGAAAGAGAGGTGATGCTACTGAGAGAGAAGTTCACGACACACGATAATAGTTTGAATGTGCAGAGTTTTGAAGCAATGCAGTCAAAGTTTGAACAATTGGAGAAGGAGGTGATGGTACTTAGAGAGAAGCCCAAGTCTAAAGAGGTACGTATGCATGCTTTTACTTATGTTGTGGTAATTTAATTTTAAATGTTTTCAAGTTGTACGTATGTATTATTTACTTTGCAGATACTTGATCTACAAATTAACATGTTCCTTTTTTGATATGCAGACTTTTATAATACCACAACTGAAAGACGAGGACATGCCTTTTGATGATTTGTTTGCCAACATAAATGCTGTAAGAGACCAAATGGGTGAATCAGATGGAGAGAGCACGGTAGATGCAAGATACCCGACGGTGAAAATTCCAGATGCACAGCCTCAAAAATCTTCGCCTATAAAGATAATTCAGCCTACTGCCTCTGTTGCAGAAAAGTTTATGCAGAAAAAAATTGGCCAGACATTAAAGATTATGGGAGTAGACAAACAAACTAAAATTGCACGAGAGAAGAGCACAAGAGTGATTAAGCCAGACTGGCTCTGCAAACACCATTTCGGAATACCCTATCCATTGTAGGCAAAAACAAACAAGTTATCCAACCTAACATGATGCTCCGACCTGGTTACGATCCATTCGCCCCAGTGGATGTTCAGAAAATTAAGATTTTGGATGACTGGTTGCAATTAGACGAGTAAGTTATTTGTTTCTAATTTTTCATGTTACTAGTGCTGATATTAAATATAATTTCATTTATATTTCATTGTTATTTATGCAGGGAATATCCAATTGGCTTCCAGAACAATGGTGTAGAGTTTTTTAAAGTTTTTCGAACTCCACAAGACTGGCTAAATGATGAGGTTGTTGCTACCTTCATATGTACTTTACTTTCACGTTTTCAATAGGACTTTTATATCTTATAAAATTGTTCTTATTTAGCAGTCCATCTTTTGTAACAGCATATTGATAGTGCCATGAACTTGCTGCGGCTGAGATTTATGAAGAATCAAAATTTTTTTAGAAGTGGGAGAATCGCTTTCGTGGATACTTATTTCACCTCTGTGTGGACCAGCAGTTATGAGGAATTTTTAAAGGCACAAGACGTGCCTATTTTTCCTAATGGAGCGCATGACTATATTTCTGGTAAAATGCCGACATTTGCAAAAACCGGGAAGAAGTAGATGATATTTATGGTGTTCTTAATGTCAATAAGGACCATTGGGTAGCTCTTTATATTTCTATCCCTAAACGCACTATTCAAGTCTTTGATTGTGGATTGAAATATACTACTAACGAGCAGATCGTGAAAGCGGTGAAGCCAATAGCTCATATGCTACCACATTTACTTCGAGTTTCAGCTCCTCCATCTGAACGTGGGAAAATGAGTGTTGAACAATTCAAGATACGAAGGCCGCGAACAGGAATTCCTCAGATGCAAAAATCAGGTGATTGTGGTATTTATGCAATAAAATTCATTGAATGCCATGCCTTAGGAGTTGACTTCACAACACCTCTA